ATGGCGCCGCCCACGGCGCCCCCGACGGCGCCGCCGGTGGCACCGCCGCAACTGGCGCAGGCGCCACTAGTAGCTTCTTGCTCCTAGTAGCGATGCCCTTTGTTACTGGTAGCTTCTTGTTACTAGTAGTAACAATGTAGTAATGCAAGGAGCTACTAGTAGCTTCTTACAAATACAGACTTTAGGCCCGGAGGTGAAGGGGGTCCACTGTACTGGGTAGAACCGTCGGGTGAAGTTGTTCGATTCGTATGCTTTGCTCGGTGAACGGCAGGGGTTCGCCCATGGGAGGTGCTTTGCTTGTGAGTCAATGAGCAAGACAAAGTTTAGAAATCACAAGGATTCCCCTTTTTTTCCTCCAGGAAGGACCCGTGTCCTGCCGCTTTTTGTTTTCCGGGAAGGACCCATGTCCTGGCGTTTTTTTTCTTCACCTCCACGGAGTAAGTTGTAAGGGGACAAAAACACCCGGACATGGGTCCTTTCCTCCGTGCTTTGGGGTCGATCTTGGGAGGAGGCGCTTTTTGGGACCCATGCACCCGCCCCCTCGCCTTCCTGTGGGTCCCAAACAAAGAGAACGGTTTTTTTCCCTGGCTTGGTCGTGATCAAAATCTCTCAGGGAAACCTCGTGAGTTAGGTGGGAATCAGACCATGATGGAGAAAGAACAACAATGGTGTGCCAGGCATCCTGGGGCCAGGATGCCCGACCTCCCCTTTGGTCCCGGGCTGATCGCTGTTCCCGCGTCCTCGATGGCTCCCAGGCCCCCAAGGCCAGGCGGAGTGGGGGTGCCCAAAGTGGATGCTGTAGCAAACGACCGTGGTTATTTTGCAAAGGATTTTAATCACTCGCGGCCTCAGAATTCGCTCTGTCTTCGCTCGAGACACCACCATGCCAAGTAGGCCAAGCAGCCGTGATGGCAGAGGTTCTTGCTTCGGCGGACCGACCGAGTGACCGACCGAGAGCTTTCTGCTCACGCCTCACCTGACCTCCACGTGTGCTGCACCTCCACGCGGGCCTCGCCCGCAGTGCCGACCGACCGAGGGGACGACGGCCCCAGTGAAGAGGAGCTTCGCGTTTTTGCCCGGACGTGGAAGTGGCTTGGACATGTGGAGGGTGACAGTGGAGGGTGGAAGATGGAAGATGTGGTGGGGGAGGATGGAAGGAGGCAGCAACCAGGTAGGTTCAGGGTTTCGGCGGGTGGCATGCCACACGAAGGTTTTGGGCACAAGAAGTGGACATCCACGAGGACTTGTGGTCATTTGGTCTGCATTTTTGGGAGCCTACGCAGTTCAAGCATCCAATGGGGGTGGAAGAGGGACATGCAGGCTGGTTCACGTGGCCAATACATAGGCCTGGCGGAATGCCCGTCTCCACCGGTGCGGGCACCCCCGTGCGCCGAGGCTTCAAGAGAACACCTACCGCTACGTGGCTGGCTTACCGGGCAAGGTCCGAAAGGCGCTGCGTTTGCGAGCGAAGAAGGAGAAGGTGGTTGGGGGGGGACCATGCAATGAAGGGAACCTGGTTGGTTAACACACGCACATCATATATAGATTTGTATTTTTTCAATGCTCTGGGAGTCCAAGAGTGTTAAAAGATGCTGATTCAGGTGACCCGAGTCCAGGAATTCCTGGTCTCGGTGGTGCCCAGAGTCCAGGAGCTTTTCTCCCTTGCATGGGACGCTTTTCAGCGCCGCACCGTTCCCCCGGCCCCCGTGGAGCGTCCTCCGTTGACCGGGTGGAGGCGGTGATCTCGGGCTTCCACGCGAAGCCCTCCACGCATTGTGGGGTTGCTCAGTGGGGTGACTCCGGGTGGCGGCTTCCTCCCTTCGTTCTCATCGCTTCATCCGTCCACATGCCACAGATCCCTCAAAGAAGACTGAAAGAAGGACCAGGGGGGGGTTAAGGATACCACCAGTTCCTCATTCCTGCTTCGGCCGGCGCATCTCCATGTTCGACCTCCACGTCCGACCTCGGACGGTTCTTGGTGCAGGATAGTCCCCCTCCCCAAAAACGTAGATACTGCAAAAAGCAAAGACCCACCAGCACCCGAAACCTGCCAGGTCTCCGCAAAAGCCACTTTTAGGTTCCCAAAAGCCATCCAGAAGAGACCTTTTTCGAGTCGAGTGCTGGTATAGAGGCAGTTCTCTCAGGTCTGCTGCTCCACCAATTCCACCCCCAAACCCGCCTTCCAGGAAACTAAAAAAGATGTTTCAACGACTGGACGACTGGACTCCTTGTTTCTGACTGTCTTCAGGTGTGGACGCGATGCTCCACAACTATGCGCGCACCATCCGCGAGAGACTCGCCGGGGCTTCCGGCTCGACGCGCTCACCGCGGGCCGACGCGACGCCTGTTCCGCGGAACATGCGGAACTGGAGTCGGTGGGTGGTGAAGGTCGAGGACATCTGCTGGAATCGGAACGCACCGGAAGTCACGGATCGGCTGAACTCATGATCATGCAGATATATTGGTGTTCAATGGGGCGAAAACGAAGCGCCGTTTTTTCGATCACTGTCTTTGATGGGACCCAAGGAGCTGTGATGCCTCCTTGCCTTTTGAGTTGCAGAGGTCGCCACAGACGGAACACACAGGTGTCCGACATATCCTCTATCAGAAGTTCTTCACTGTTTGAATTCTATATCTTTCAGGTGGGTCATGGACATAATAAACATATCTCAAGTATACAGAATCAAAGCAATTACATCTCTGACCAGTTTTGGTGAATGTATATCGTCTTAAAAACCGTTTCCTCCAGCCTGCCCCCGCTGGCCCCAGCCTGCCCCACCCTGCCCCAGGCCGAGGGCGACCCCGATCCAGCGGAGTTCGTCCAACAGTGGTGCCGATCCCCTCCGGAACGGGGCGTGCCGAACGACGGGGGCGGGGGGCGGATGGGAAAACAAGGTCTATCAGTCTCTCATTACTAGAGGTCCAAAGAAAAGAACAACGAACAAAGACAACAATAGCAAAAAGAGACAGGACGGACCCTGCAAAAATGATAATGTATCCTCAGAGAGCAGCTCGATTTGGGGCGAGATGTCACAGCGGACGCACGAGATCTCACTGAGTCCAAGTGCTTGATCCAGTCACTTGAGCCTCTCCATCTCTAAAGAGGTCGAAAACGATCCAACACTGTTCAATAGGCGCGGACTCCCGCAGTTGGAGCTCTTTTTAGGAAGACCAGTTGCCGAAGATTGCCTTTTTGGTTACCGAATAGAACTCTGACCTCTCTCTGGCCCGCAGACTTTCCATTTGTGACTTGGCTGCCTGGACATGAAAATCCCATATCATGGAAGACAGGGAGTCTTGCCGCATGACTCAACTCGACGATCAAAGCTTGATTCAACTTGACCTTCAGAGTTTCAGACAGGACCTTCTTTGTCTTTGGGTAACCAGCACCTTCAAAGGGGTCACCCTGTTGAATCACATCACCCCGGAAACGAGTTAGAGCCTCAGAGATCTCTGTTCTACTGCACGCCCACACGTGCGGGCACGGTGCTGTCGAGGCGCGTCAAGTGATAGATGGGAAGGAGCAGATGGGAGACGTGGATAAAACTGCATGCCTGGCCTCTCTCAAGACCAAAGGTAATTACTCCACCAACATTTGGGTGTGTATTCATCTATATACATTGGGGGCCCCCCAGCCAATGGGTTTTGCGGCTTTGCTTCTTGTCTTGGCTGCTTTCTCAGGGGTCTCCCTATTCTGCACAAACAGTTGGTAGTCCCTGACCAACCTTTAGGTTTCTTCCTCGTTTGCCCTGCCCAGGGGGTGGAGAAACGTTCGGCTTCCAATTCATTCTGAAGAGCCCATCGCCCGTGGGCTTGCTCCACTCCCAAGGGCGTTCAAGGGATCTCGAACACGCAACGCAGGGACCAGACCAGTTTAGAGGCGACGGGTCATGTCTCCTCAAGATCACCAACCAATGCGATGATCGGTCCAGTCCTTTTGCTGCGCTGGCTGCCTTGGCTCCAGTTAGTGGGCGGCAAGAGCCACGCCCCCACGCCCTCCCAGGCGGGGTGGAGGTCATCGGTAGGTTCATCAAAACCTCTACCGCCCCTCTCCAAGCACAAGGGTGTGCATCTAGAACCGCTTAGATGCTTGACCATAACCAGTTGATTTCTTATGATTTCAGTCCCTGTGTCCTGAGTAGGGCATTTTGGACCACAAAACTTGCCATGACCAAGTGCAGCAAGGACTTCTGCATGTAACTCACATGGAGCAGCCGCCACCACCTCGACCGATGGTTCTTCTCTTGGAGACACTTCCACACTTCCACCAGTTCCAAGCCGGGTGCTTGGCTAGAGGTGATCGGGCGTCCTGCACGTCCCATCACCTCCACTCACTGCACCTGCGACCCCTCAAAACCACCCAAACAACCACCACCCTCAAAACCCCCCAAGGCCTTGGGTGACCCAACTTGGCCCAACTGGGTGCTTCCTCTCACCTACTCGCCAGCTCCGCGGTCTCGCCGTGGGGGCGAACCCCGGTCCGCTCGATCCGCCGCTAGGGCCCATGGAGGACACGAAGCGCCCGGTCTTCGGCGCGGAGGCCGAGCGGATCGGCACCCGGCTCGATGAGGCGACCGATGAGTTCCTCAAGGAGTGGAGGGCGGGAGGGGCGGAGGGCTGAGACTGAGGGACTTGAGGGGTTGGCAGCTGTTTGTGGGGTAGGGGAGGTTCTGGGAGCTCGCGCGAGGAAGCAAAAAATGGAGGTGCGTGTCTTTCTGAATGCAGCTGATTTGCATGGATTTCTTAATGTTGTATGCGGACTTTCCAGAGTTCCGTAGGCGGTGTAGCTGCAGCCCTGTTTGTGGAGGATGTTTGTTGCTTTTCTTCAAGAAGCCTACTTGAGATCGTGCTCCCGCAAGCCAATCGGTCCTTTGACTTGAGGGTGCAGGAACTGTGTATGAGAAAACGGCTCTCGTGTTCTTCTTCGACATGTGGACGCTCAGGAGACCAAGAGTTGTCGCGCGCTGCAGATCCCACCAGGGCAGGATCAGCTGACAGCCATGGAGCACCATGGTCTGAGCGATTATATTTTGAGTCTTGAGCATCATTTACTGTAACCATGATGATGATGATGATGATGATGATGATGATGTTGATATTTGTGGTATCCTCGTCACATTTACAGTATGAATATTTCTTTCACGAATGGTGAAATACACGTCCCATCACATACTCTTACTCAACATAATGTGATTGGAGATGGAGAGCGGTGGAGGGGAAGAAGCTGATTATGCAAGTGAGACCCCCAACCAATGGCACCCCTCTGAATGGATGGTGATGGTGACCAGTGGGGGTTACATCCAGGGAAAGGGGTTTTCTACAGAATCTATAGCTTTGACTTTGACAATAGCTCAAGTGATTGTGGCTCAGAACCTCTACATACAGGCTATATACAGCCTTATTAACAAGATAGGCGGTATGTTCTTTTTGAGCTGTGTGGTGTTCCAGCAACGCAGGATGTGGGTGCTGCAAGCGATTCCGCGCGAACAATTGTCCGTGCACAACAAAGTTGTCTCGGAAAGTCACACACGCATGAGCATCGGAACTCACTTCCCAATGTAGCGGAAACGAGCGCCATGGCCTTTCGTTCGAAGCACATTTGCCAAGCGATGTTTGAAGTGAAAGTTCATCGGCAGTTCATGCAGTACCTGTTCACCCTCCTCAGCCTGGCAAACGCTTCCCCACCCCAGTTGGTTGAAAGCCTCCATCGGCTACACTTTTTGCACCCCCTTGTAGCTGCAAAAACAAATTGCAATAAGATCGGCAAAAGAATCCTGAACAACGAGATTGTCTACCCAAGCAGCCAGTTGGAGAGAACAAAACAACTGCGTGGACCCTTATTGCCTGAATCAAGCAGTTTGTCTACCCAACGAGATTGCACTCCTGGACCGGACGATGACCATGACCCCTTCGACCATCTTCGACCCCAAAAACACATTAGGAGCAAAGAAGCTACTAATAGGAACAAAGGGCATCGCTACTAGGAACAAGAAGCTACTAGTAGCTCCTGGCCTTACTACTAGGAACAAAGCTACTAGTAGGTCTTTGAAGCTTTCTAGTAACTAGAAGCTACTAGGCGGAGGCCATTACTAGGAGCAAGGACGCTATTAGGTTGGAGGCCATTGCTACTAGGAACATGAAGCTAACAAACCTCACGACTCTTCACTGCGGGGGCCGCTTCAGAGAGATCCTTCGGTTCCTTCCCGGGCGATGGCGCCCAAGCGGAAGAAGCGCGCTGCGGGAAAACCGAAGACCGCAGAACCGGAGCTGCCGCCCGAGCTGCAGGTGTCCATGGGCTCGGTTGGGGTCGCTTTCGTGACAGTCGTTTTTAACATTGACTGGATCTGCTGCAACAACTGCTTATTATATATATATTATATATATATATTATTTTTGTCTTGTTTTTTCCTCTCCCTCATCTCAAGCCACTCAAGTGTTGTTTGGCGCATTAGACATGTGTGAAAGCAGCCCAAGAGTTTCACCTTCTTTTGGGGTGAACCGATGGTTGGCTGCAGGAGCCGGAGATCATTGAAGGTTCCAGTGATGCCGAACTCTCCTCCTACTCCGACGGCGAGAGTGCCAAGAGCGCGGAGGTCTCGGGGCAGGTGAAGGAGATGCTGAACAAGGTGCAACTGGAGAATCCTGGACTTTTGGAAGATTTTCTATATTTATACTTCTTTTTTCCCTTTGCCTATGAGTGGCCGCCCAATAGATGTCCTTCCCTCAACCTAACGACCTTTTCCTCCTGGAGTCTTCCCAGGTGTCCGCCTTCGATGATTGTCAGAGGGTAGGCACCACTTCCCCAAGTGAGTCATCTGGAACCAATGAGATGTCACTCGGATGGTCGCTTTGTCGCGCCCCCTTTCCTCGCCTTGCCGAGGAAGGCACTGGCAGCTGAGCCGGAGAAGCTCAAGAAACCGAAGAAGCCGCGCGTGGTGGAAGAGGCGGCGTGGAGCTTGAGCTTCTCCAGAATGGTAACGGGGCACACGCGACTGAGTAAGTGACTTCATTACCCTACTCAGTAAATAACCCAGTGGGCTTTTCCAACATATATATATATTTACTGTGTATATATATATATATACTGTATATATATATATTAATATATATATATATCTCTCGGACAACCCAAGGAAACGCAAAGAAGCAATCCTTTGCCCACCATTTTTTGCTGGGCGCAGGGTGCGGGGGGGTATCCCCCATGGGCGTGCCGGGAGCTCCGGCAGGGAGACGGTCTGCTTCTTGTTGCAGAGAGCCGCAGAAAGTGCCGACATGTGAGAGCTGCACCACCCAAAGGGTGATTGATAGACCCGCCTGATGATCTATTATCCGTCTAAATAACTACCCGAACTGGGGGGTGCCGGTACAGGCCGCGGTGCAGGGGAGTCTTATCCTGGCCACCCCGCCCTGGTCGGCAGATGGGGTGCCCACCCACTTGCAAATGCAATACGGCCCACTAAAATGACCTACAGTACCTAGAACCTGATTGACCCCTGCTTTGGATCCAAAACATGGTCTTTTCCTATCAAAACAGAGGTCATGTCTGGGTTCTAGGTAGCTTCCCTGCACTCCCAAGCACTCCCAACCTGTCTCGATGCTTCTTCTCCTTCCTCCAGGCGCCCAAAGCCGGAAGAAGAGATGGGCAGATCTACTTGTCTCAGCTGCCGTTCTCCGTCACAGCGGAGGTGTTGAGAGGACGGAAGGGGAGAGGATGACGGACGCTCGGCGGGTTCGAGATCAAGGGCCACACAAACCACACCACGCGTGCCAGGCCACACAAGGCCACACGCACACAGACTTGCGGTCGGGGCGGGGGTCTGAGATGCTCCTTGATTCCGCCAGCCACCTTCCTCTCAAGGTGGGGGGGTTCATCGAAAGAAAGCCTCCCGGCCCCCCGACCCGCGGAGACGCACGAGACGGGGCACCCCGACCCCCAGGAGACTTCGAGAAGTTTGGCGCGCTGCGCTTGTTCTACTTCCACCGGGATGCCGACGGGAAGTTCCTGGGCACGGCCTGCTTGTTCTATGAAGACCCCGCGGTGGCCGACAAGGTGGGGGGTGGACCCGGGTGGGGGGTGGCCCCGGGCGGGGAACCAACGAAAGAACCTGTTTGACCTCGGTTTTTGATATGAAAAGACCGTGTTTTGGCTTCAAAACAGGGGTCAAAATCAGGTTCTGGGTAGATACATGATGCCCGGTATTGAGTTTCCTCTAGTATTCTCTTTCGGTCGGAGATCGTGGGAAGTGGGTGGGATGCGAAGTCTAGCTTCGAGGCACTTTCAGTCGCAAGCCCCCCTGCTGTTTGCCGCTGGTCCGGGTGAGGGGAGGACCTCCGTTTCCGGACGCTGTTTGAGGTTGGAAAGCCCAGCTTGGGAGTACTGCTGTGTTCTTCTTCAGGGCCTTTGCAAGGCTTCACCCTTTTCTGTTGTTTTCATTGCTTTTGTTGGCATCACGGGTGGTTTTTCCACTCCTGCCAGGCCACAACACGTCACCCGTCGATTGGATGTTGGGTGCGTTCGGTTTTCGACCGGGCTTCGGCGTTGTCCTCACCTCCAAGCGCGTCATCCTCGTCCTCACTCCGGGGGTGCAACGCAAATCATCATTTTGAGGCCACTGGAAGACCTTGAGGTAAGAGGCTGATCGCCTTTGCGGGATGAACGACGAAGCGATACACATGAAATGATGTGTCGACCTATCCCATTTCATTTGTTGGACCCACCCTGCCAATTCATTTCATTCATTGGTTTCTCTTTCTTGAGGTCATTTTGCTCGATGGCATCAACTACAAGGGCCGTTGGATAAGAGTGCGGCGGCGACAGCCGCGGAACAAGGGGCCGAAGGGAGCAGGCGAGAAGAGGATGTGGGGGCAGCTGGGGGGAGGTTGGGGTCAAAGGGTTCCAGCCGGGATTGGGGATTGTCTGACACCTCCTTGGCATGGGAATGATGTAGCTCCCTCCCTGAAATGCCAATGCTTTGGCTTCTTGCCGAGCATTGGTTCGGGCTCCCCCGTATTTGGATCAAAGCGTGCTCTTGCTTAGGGAGAACGAGGCCGTGGCCGCGGTGAACTCGTCGGAGAACCAGCCATTCGTGATGACGAGGCCGTGGAGCAACGACGGGAGATGGAAAGATGGAGGAGGAGATGGTGCAACTTGGTGGACGTGACGAGTTTTGCGAGGCCAAGAGGAGAAAGACGTGACGAGTTCAACTGATCTCAACCTAAACCATGTTTCATCGATGTGTGTCACAGGGCCTCAAGCCTAGCAACAGCTGCGCCCATGGTTTCTGTCCGCACCGTTTGGGCCGAGTTAGCCCGAGTGATCGAGTTCCAAGCATACTGCCCAGTAACTCATCCTGAGGCCGGGCGCGGAGCCGGGCACGGAGGAGCCGGATGCTGAGGGTGGAAAGAAGAAGAAGAGAAGACTGATGAAGGGCAAGGTCGGGGGATCGCCGGGGCAAGGAGTCCAATTGGAGTCCATGACTTGCGGATCGCTGGTCTTTCTTGTTCTCCAGTTGGACCGTTGATTTGGAACGCAGATCGCCACGCTCAGTTGGACCCGTTTCGTCCGAAAGATCGATGATCTTTCGCCACCCCTGCAGAGCCTGCTTTCCCCCCCAGCCTGTGGAAGGCCACTGAAGCGAAAGCCGCAGTGAAGAAGAAGAAGAAGCGAAAGATCGCAAAGACATGAGAAAAGCCGATGCGTTTTTGGGTGCGTTTTCTTTTCCTTTCTTTCGGATGCCAGCGAGGATGAGAGGAAATGGACACCCAATGGGCCGGTTTCTGGGTTGGACTTCGGACACCCTTTAGGGTGTCTCCTGCTTGGTTTGGTCCTTGATCACTTCTCCGTGTTCTTTTTCTACACATTGTGAGCGCTCGTGGGTGCACATATATATATATATATATCATAATATATATATATATTATATCTGGGTTTGCTTCAATGCATGGGAGGAATGGTGTGTGAAAGAAGTTGTCGTGCTGAAGGGTGCTTTCAGCTTTTTCGACAATGCAGCCACTGAGGCAATCAAAGACACCCCAATTCAGCCCAAAACTACGTAGTGGTTTGGAGGAGGTCCCTTTTTCAGAGTGAACTCTGCATCATGCTCCCACACAAGCAGGGAGCATATGAGGAGTTCGAGGCATCCGGAAGGAAGTTCCCAAGAACCACTTGCCAGGAAAGTCCAGGGAACCACTTTTCTCTTCAACTGGCCTCTTGGTTGTGTTGTCATCTACATATTTCTGCTGCATAACCGAACCCCCCGTTCGTCCTGACTGCCCCAGTCTGGCAGTCTGGCAGCCAGTGGCTGAGGTATGTGGCCTACCTGGGTATCAACCTGCAGCTGGAGCCAGAGCTGTCATGGGTCGCACGAGCTACTTGGCCCTGTGGGGGCTGAGGGTGGCCAGCCTACCGGACCAGCAGGATCCAAGAAAGCGGATCTATCCAAAGGAACGCATGCCAGGACCCCCCCCTGTTTGGGGTGTCTATCAATAGCCCAGAGGTTCAGGGGTGTCTACCAACCGCATTGTGGGCTCTGGAGAAGACATGAATACACGCCAGCACCACCCACAGGGGGTCGCAAATACATAGCCAGGGGATGCCAGGGGTGTCTATACGGCAGACCTCTGGAAAAGAACCGATTCCTCTATAAGGGATGTCAACCTGTGGTGGTGGTGGTGGTGGTGAAGAAAACTCATTTTGTTTGGGACATGGTCTCCCTGGTTGGTGGGTCCATTGCTGAGTCCAGGTCTTTTTTAGGCTTTTCACAGTGGCGGGATCTTCGGGCTCCCCCACTTCGTGCATGCTCTGGGAGGCGCGAGCCCAGCAGGCTGTGCCCGTAGACCTTCCCTCAAAACCAATCCAAGGATGGTTGGGAATTCATCCGTCCATCCGACTCGATCTGGGCTCAGGAGATGCTGGCAGCTCCTATGCCGCCGCAGGCGGAGATGAAGGTGAGCAAGGCGGGCAACCAGACGGACGTGGGTGGAGGTTTTGCTGTGGGGAGAAGTGCCCGAAAGGAGATGCGAGATGCGAGCCGCGACCAGTTCTGGGGAGAGTTTTATGGTGGAAGAGATGCTGAATACGAGTCAGCGAGTCCTGACAAAAAGTCTGGCGAGCCAATTTAAGTGCAAATTTAACTTACTGGGTTCTTCCCCCAAAACAGCCATCGCCAGACTCGTTCCACGTCACCGTCTCAACCCCACACCCCAACTTCAATGTTGTCGGGTCAGGTTCGGTATCAGCGGCCTTATGCGGACAAAAACCAGCCCTTCAGGTCGGTACATGTCAGGAGACCCATCAGGTCCCATCGAGCTGGGGGATACGGGGGGTTCGAGAATTCTTTTCATCCCTGACTTGATGGCTGTTCTTTTTTTGGGAAGAACCCGGTAAGACCTTCTGGACCAGACCGCCACGCTCAGCACCCCACCGAAAGCGAGGATTCTTCTACTTGCGCGAGCAAGGATTCATGGTGAGCGGCTGACCCATCCCAAACCCGGTGTTTGCGCTTTAACAGACTCCTTAGTAGCTCTAGTGGAGTCTGTTGGGCACATATATATCATCGAGGCAACCCCCACCGGGATGTATATATATATACATACATACACATTGAGCCTGCACACAGCTCAGCTGCTTGTGAAGGCTGGGGTTTGCTACTTCCATGACCTGATCAACGACTACTACACCATTGAGCATCCCTTGACCCAGAGGCCGGGCCATTTTGCTGGGCCGAAGCCAAGCTTCGGGCCCGGGCCTCGTGTATCTTTTGGTGATGGAGGATAGTTGGATGGATGAAGTTTCTGGACATGACTTGATCTGATTCCACCCTGTCCACCCTATGAACTGTTTCCGAAAGCCATATCGCCATCCAAGAGAGAACGACGATGGAAGTGAACAAGCACCCTACATGACGGCTGACCATGGTGAAAAACTTTTGGGGGAGTAGCACTGCAATCCAAATGATGTCTATCGGACAACCTTACCAGGAGTATCAGATACCACACCCTCCCAGTGGCGTAAAAACCCGCACATGGTGCCTCAGGAGGCGTCCCTGCCCTTCAGGTACTTCGCTACACAGTGGACTGACAGGAGCCCCAAACACAGAGGTGGTGCACCACTTCACGCCGGTCTTGGCCACTGTTTGGGGGAAAAACAACACCGCCTACTTTGGAGGCTCCGGTTGTTATTCAAAATGAAATAGCCCGTGCCCATCCGAAAAGGTGCCCATCCTTCCGCCGTCCAGCCCCTGGCACCCGCAAGTGGCGAGAGGGACCCGCGAGTGGCGCGTGGCGGGCGGGTTGGACCGCCCGTGGCGGTCCGGAGGTTCTGACGTGACCGGTAACATAGGACCCGGAACCGTTTCCAACTGGGATAGTCTATGCCAGTGGCCTTCAGTTTGACCATGGCAAGTACCAGGATTTCACTCCTCCAAACCAGGTGTCGTTGCTCGGGACAACGGGACCTGCGGGTCTCCTCGGGCTGGTTTCCGGAGGTACTTGAAGGTTTTGGAGCGGCAACGGCTGGACCTGCTGTGCTTGCGCACGAAGCCGCAGCTTGGAGCGCTTGTTCCAGGGCAGGGTCCGGGCAGGTTCAAGAAGCAGATGGCACGATTCACATGAAGCAGCTGATGGTATTGGTGCAATCTGACTACTGATCCTACTGCTGCATTCTTCATTTTAGACTGACTGTTGGTTCAAGGGATCAGCTGGCAATCTCATTCTCGCTGGGTTGACAGGGGCTCACGCCTCCCTTCCAGCAACCAACGGCCTAAACCCCACTGGCTCTTCTCATCTCACACGGCCGGAAGAATGTGTGCAAAATTTGCGACCGCCCTGCGACCAACGGCTTTTTTTTGGTCTCATCGGGTGCTGACAGGTCAAGCAGACGTCGATTCGGAGAGGATCAGCAGCATTTGGAGGGCTTGGCTCGCGGTTTGATTCGGATCAATGGAAGGATCGATAAATAAACAGGAATATTCGTAGCAAGGACGCTGCTAGGAACAAAGGGCCTCGCTACGAACGAAGCAAGAAGCTACGAACGTAGCTCCTGGCATGAATACTACAGTATTGAATACTTGCTCTTTCATCCCGCCACCTTGCGATGAGAATCCGATCTTCACAGTGCGTAGTCAAATGAGAGTTTGATAGGGTTTGTGCAGACCAGCGGTTTTTGCGGTCCGTCGCCAGCCTTTGGCTCTCAGCTCGCTGGTTCCTGACTCTGAAGCTGTGAGGAGCAGTGGTGCGCTTGGCAGTGGTGCTTCTCGGCATATTGGGCTCAACGGCGCAAGAGCTTTGTCTTGATGATGGTGTGCCAGAAAGCCAGCGAGTGTACATCCAGGAACGGGGTTGGGTAAAGGCGTGGAACTTTGACTGGTACGTAGAGCTTGGAATCCGGAATCCATGACTGTTCCATGACTATTCATGGCCAGAAACCAATCAGGATGATGCCGGCAACCACATGTCCATCGGAGTGTTCGAAATGGCTTGGGCATCGTCCACGCCTCTGAGCACCGAGTGATCCGCGAGGATGATCCGCGAGGTGCTTGGTTTCCACGCGAGGAGGTGGATCCTACAGGTGGGTGGGAATGGAGCTAGTCCCGGCCTTGGCCGGATGCACCGACTTCAATGACGCCAGAAGGACGACGATCCATGTCAGCATGGACTCCTGGATTGGATCATATAGTTCTATGCAGAACTCCTTCGCGGCAGAGTATCCACAGATTGCTGCGGAGGATTTGGGCAGTATGGGCTATTCGGGCCAGCAATCGATCTTTGTCAGCCAGGCCGTGCATACTGCCGCCAGGCCAGCGATTCGGGTCTTGCCTGGGACCAGTTACGCTGAGCTACTGAGCGCATGGCACATGGCACTGGTGGGTGAGTGGGTGGCCAGTGGGTGGCTGTGTTCTAGAAGATGGAGGCCAAAAAAGAACGTAGTAAAGATGGTTGATTCATTTAGTTTGGGGGCCTCCACGAGTGGCGCGCATACGCACCTTGGTTCCTCACAAACCAGCCGTCTGCCTGACTACTGTGTAGTGTGTGAGAGGGTGGCGGCCATGTTAAAAGAAAGATCGGTAGTGCCATGAGACGTGACCACCAAGCTTTGTTGAACTTACTGTTGAGTGCCTGGGTCTCGCAGATTGAACATGAGAACATGATTTTGCACGGGGTAGTTTTCGGGTCTGAGCTGAGGCTACAACACGACGCACCATGACCCGAAGAAACTTGCCAGTGACTTTAGTCGTAAGCCTTACTCTGTATCCTGTTTCAAGTGGGTTTCGTTTGGCCAACTGTTTTCCATCGCTGATGCCCCTCAGGAAATACTTCGATTCAGTTCACGATGTGGACTTGTCAGAGTTGGCGATGTGCAACGTGACAGACATGATCAACAACAATATGATGAAGGATTATTTGAATTATTCCAGGGATACTGAGGGGGTCGAGCTCCAGGCTGACGGTTCATACATTGCCAAATGTTGGAACAAGCTTGTGCAAGACATCTTTGACAAAGGATCTTCACATGTACGGGCTGTCCTGAGCTGGGCTGTTGTGAGTCCTGCCCGATACGCAGTCATGCAGAAGTTGCCAGTGCCAAGCACCTGCCCTTTTTGTCAGCAGACCGTGGCTCCCACCTGGGACCATCAAGTTTGGGAATGCTCGTTCTTCCATGAGACACGTCCCTCTACCAAACCTTCCTGCCCTTTGACTCAGGTTGTGGGTTGGCCATCTGTCGATGAGGATCATACCACGCTGGAGCATATGGCTCGCATCAGGGCGGCCACGCTCTCTGACCGATATCGCTGCGAATAGCGAGGCCAGGAGGCCTGCCTGGGTGACAAGTCCTGCTGCTGAGTCCTTGGGCCTAGTAGTTGAGGCTTAGTATCCATAAAGAAATCATCGATGGTGGTTGGCCCCTGCGTGCCGTCACGATGTTTCCACATGCATCCCAGTCTTCACTGCGGGGAATGGGTGGTTTTTGCAAGCCATCATGCAGTGGTCGACAGCATATGGAATCCCGGCCGCCATTGCAGTCTCGGGCGGGTGGTCATTGTGGCAGCAGCACGTGCGGACTTTCCGAGCTCTCCACTACTGGTGGGTTCCAGATTCGACCTTCATCGACATGTTGCCACAACAAGTGTTTTTTCCACTTCACAACGGGCAGGAGTGGGCCGCGGGCGACCAAAAGACAGCCGCCAAGTCAACTTACATATCCAAGATGGTCAGCAGCAACTTGAAGTTCAAGGCCGGTTGGGTTCGACAGCTTCTTCCTAGTCGAATTTAGCAGGTTTTTGCCACTTATTGTTGTAGGTTGTGCATTTGATGTTCCATAATTGTGCCACATGGGAACTCCAAAGCTGGCGTTTGCTAGCTTTGGGGATTCGGACCTTTTTTACTCGACCACCACGCTGTGCATTTTCACCGCTGAAGCATAGACGTGCCGTGCCACGACGGATTCCTTGGGTGTTGGACTCACTGAAACGATTTACTTCGCCACCGACAGCACCTCTCTCTCCGACGAGGGAAATCGTCATTCTGTGTGGTCATTCTTGGCAAGGGCGCTATTAGGGTTGGAGGCCATCGCTAGTAGGTTGGAGGCCACCGCTATCAGGATGGCAGGCCATCACTTGCTTTTAATTAGGGTTGGAGGCCATGGCTTCTGTTCTTCCCATGATGCTGGTCAGCCAACTTCACAAGCACAACATTCCGATCTGTACTGAGTTTCGTGTTGTGTCTACATTCTTTTGCGGTGTCCACCTGGTTTGCGCAACCTTTGCGTCCCATCCATTGGTTGCAGTTGTCTTGAACATGATTTTGCTACAAGGTTGATGTAAATATATAGACATCCAAAACTGTTGGCTCGTGCAGAAGTAGCTCTCTTTTTTGGTTCTCCTTGGTCAGGCTGAGGCATTGAATGTGCTTCTTTGAATGTGCTTTCTGCCCAGTGATCCCGCCCCTTTCCTCGGTCAATCCGCGCCCCAACACCTAATGTTTGTGTTGGTTTTCTGATGAATTGGTCATGTCGTGCTCCATCACGCCGACCGTGTTAGCGATCCGCCGACCGAGCGGAACAGGGGCGACGTCTTCGAATGGCTCAACGAAGATTTCGCAGGTCGAAAGGCTGATGGATGCGCTTGGGAGCTTTCTAACATCCACCGTTTGACCTGGTGAATGCCTGGGCTGGGCCTGCACACCGAAAGTGAAAGAAGGCCTGACACCTGTGTTTTGAACACATTCATCTTCTGCCTCGACGAAACGAAGAATTGCTTTTCGTGGTGTGGGGGTGTGTTTGGCCACATCGCCTTGGTAGTATCCTTGTTTCCCAGCTTTGTCGTATGAATGAAGCTCCACATGTTGTGGGTGACCGCTTGCAGACCACAAAGCTTCGCACTCGCCGTATCCTTTCATGTACATGATGTCCAGCAACACTAGAAGAGAGAATATATGTATATATATATATAATATAAGCATTTTTGGTTCATTGGTAGAACATGACCTGCGCAAGACATTGAAATGTGCAAACAGGCCACGTGCTGACCTTGAAGTTTCCACGTTCTGACCTTCCCTTACTCAGCCTTGCATTGTTCCCAACAATCTGCTGGCCTTGATGAACAGTAGTTTCCCATTTCCAATGAGTGTAAGGTTCGTGTCCAACATCAACTTGGAGTTGCAGGAAGTACAATCTCTTCTTTTCGATCTTGGGTCAGCATCGAATTATGATGTTGCTTGCAAGTGGCTCCGAGACAACCGAGCCAGGCGAGAGAGTGGCAGTATCTTCCTTTGGGCGGGTTGGAACCCCTCCCAAATGAGCCGCAGGAATTCTGTTTTTTTGTTTGGACTTGTGAAGGGGGGGAGTTTACAGGCGGGTGACGTTTGAACCTTTGCCTGCAGATTTTGTAGTCTTTTTTTGCCTTTTTGAGGTGGTCATCCTGGACACCACCGAAGACGGACTGCTACGAAGGTTTTGGATTGGTTGATACCTCAGGAGCTTTTGTCTCCAACAGGGCAAGTGCTGTTGGATGCGGTCTGTGCCAGGCCGGAACTGCATCTGAGGTGCTCATTGATGCTGAGGGAAGCACCTTCCAATGCAAACCATGCCCTCCAGGCTACAACCAATCAAACACGTACTCCACCCAGTGCGAGCCGTGCCCGAGTGGCTCTTCGGCCAGCTCGTCTGGGAGCGCAACGTGCCATCTTTGTGCCATAGGCACTTACCAGCCGGATACAGCTCAGACCTCCTGTATCCCATGCAGTGCTTCCCAATCCACACTCTCTCAAGGCACTGTGTCTGCAGCAGACTGCGTTCCGGACTCGTCGAACCCTAACCCTACCGACCTGTGCATCTTTCAGTGATGCAAAGGCTTCGCTAGTGGTTGGAAGCACCCTCCTTTGGTGGAGTGGCTTGCTGGGCGTGCTTTGAAGAGTTGCCACGGACTTCCCCTTCGGCCCGTTCGCGGTGAGAACTTCACATGGAGGCTTCGTTTAGGCTTCGTGTTCTGGTGTGTTTCAGCTGCACGGTGCCAAGGAAGTACGGCAGCCTGTGGCCACCAGCGGCAATCTTCCATATGGGCTTTGGTTTCATGCTGGGTCCTGGCGGTCCTGGGTACTAGTTCCCAGCTTGCTTGTTCCATTTGATGCCCTGAGACACCTTTTGCGCCGAAGAGGGCCTTGCTAGGCCCTGCCCTTCCGCAGAGCGGGAAGGTTTGCGAGCGTTTTCTTTGGAGTCCCTGGGCGCGTCAAAAGTAAAAAAGAGATTGGCGACCTCACAAGACCCTTTCTGAAACTGCGATGGAGACATCTGTTTTTGAGGACTCAATCAATGCATTGTTCTTTGTCTTTGATGGTGTCCTTGGGTGGGGGAAGACACTCCGTGGCGGAGAGTGAACGAAGCCACCAGGCGCCACCAGAACAGACCTTCCAGTGTAGAAGAAGGATGTTTGGCGTCCAAACGTGCCGTAATAACATTTGCAATAATGCAGTCTTTAGAAGCGAAACATAGTAAAACATGTAAAACCAGATATACTTATAGTTATATCAAGTTATATATATATATATATACAATATTAATATACGAACAATTATGAACACTATAATACTGACTATTACTGCATAATGATACGGCATCTTTTTGCCACATCACGGTGGAACTGCAGCCTGCAAGGTCGGTGAATGGACTCCTGTTCTCCCAGCCGGACATGCTCTTCAACAAGCAGTGGGGAGCGCCCAGATGTGGGGGCAACTGGAGGAAGCAACGGAGAAAACAAGCGCAGTGGGCCCAGGTAGATGGCTCTTTTTTTTCCATTTTGGGTTCAGCACGCCGAGAGCAACTCTCCATCGCAGCTTGAGGAATCATTGTTGCGGGTGCCGGTGAAAAAAAACAACACAGCAAAGAGACCGCGACCGCGACCTCTGAGGTTCCGCAATCTTCAGATCCCTTGCCAATCCTGTGGTGTGATGCAGTCCACCCTGAAGTGCAATCAGCCGCGGACTCGGTCGTTCCTTCGGCGGGCCGGGCCCCGGCGGGGTCGGTGCGGCCTGGTGGCGATTCCGGTTCCAGTTTCGCTCTCAAAGTATCTTAAGTTCTGAAAGCCACCAGAAGCATGACACCTAGACTAAACAATAGTTAAGCTCATGGTTCTGCTAAACACCAGCATGTTGGTCCATGACTTCCCCCCCAGATGGCTCTCTACAACAGTCCTGGACGAACTCCTTTTGGCCGAGAGTCCTTCACCTCGCTGGTCGTGGCTGCCGCCTTCAGGTGTCTGATGTCCTTCTGCCAGTCCTGCGCAGATGCCCTGCACAAGAACGCTCTCGGGCCGAGGACCGAGCGAACGCGCGAGTGGAGCCGAGCGAAAGGCGAAAGAGAGGCGACATGGCTCTCAGATACGGCACTTTCGTTCGCGTTTTCGGGGTTTGTCACTCCCCCATCCATCCATCCATCCATCCATGGGTTACGTGGTTTTTCGGGTAAATGCCAGCACCAGCACCAGGTTGGCATGTCCCGGAAAAAAGATAATACTTTTGGGGACATGCGATCCACTTGTCACATGTATATTTATAGCTTTCAGCTTTCGATGAGATTTGTTAAGGGGGTGCAATAGATCGAGCACGCAATCGTTGGAAGCTTGAGGGTGGCAAGTCCTAGATCGGGAGGGTGAGGTTGATCCACCTGCTTGCTCCGCCCCGGTGTGACACAGAGGGAAGAAAAACGGTGCAAACCTTCCAAACTGCTGGGCCGAACCGGACACCTCAGGCATCCTCAGGCCATGTTCCTCCGCCCTGGTCCCCGCTACCCGGGCCGATGGTTCTTCCGACCCGGGCCCCGGTCCCGGCCTCATCGAGCAGCGGGGAACGGCGCGGCGCGGACCGGACGGCTCTTCCTCTCGCGCCGGCCATGGAGCGGCGAAGGGATCCGGAAGACGGGGGCGCCTACACGCGGCTTGGACGAGGGATAGGGGGAAAGGACGCTGGAAGGACGCTAGGGCGGGAGCATCCGCTAGCCGGTGGATAGGGTCATACCAGCAACCATGAGCTCTTAGGGAGGGGAGATGGCTATTTATAAGTATGTTGCTGAGACAGAGGTCTGAGGTTTGGAGATGAACGAGAGTCGTGGTCGACAGGGACAGACACCAACCTCCTGTTGCTTGCAAGGTATGATGAGATCCTCGCCCACTACACGGCCGGCCGCGGCGTGGCCGGTCGCCTTCGCGTGCTGGGTAGGTCGAAGACCGCTCGGCTGCGGCATGGTGTGGGGTTGCTGTTGTTGCTTCCGTGTTTCCAAGTGGTTTTTGAGTGGAAAACGCCCGTACCGCCTGTACCAGGAGTTGATAGTCGAGGTGCCCTGTCAGCCTAGGCCGGTAGTGTGGGGTAGTGCAGCCAGGACATTTGTTGGAGGGTCCAGGTACCAGGAGTTCAGTTTACAGTCGAGGTGGCTGCTTTGACCCCGGTACCGCGAGTAGATGACCATGGGCATCCCCCCGACATCGAACTTTCCTACTTTCCTCGGTTGGTCTTCCCCTCAGGCAGCAGATCTGCTCACCGAATCGGTCAGGCCGAGGGTTACAAGAAGAAGGAGGTGAATGCCTACTGGGAACAGGCTCGCTCCGTCGGTGGTGGATTTCGTGTGTTCTTTGCTGCTGCTGCTGCTGCTGCTTGCTTCAGCACACTTGGACCGAACTGGCGCCTGTTTGGTCCGTGTGGTCCGAGCAGACGGACGGTGGACGGAGAACATGGGGATTTCTTCTCGGTGCGAATGGGAGGTCCGAACCTTCGGCCGGTCCCGGAGCAGTGTTTCCTGCGGGGAGCGGTTTGAACAGACCGCGACTTGGTTGGGTGGTTCATCCGAAATCACCCGCGAGAAGCTACATGGCTTGTCCATCAACCGCCCCTAGGTCACTAGATCCTCCCGACTAATTAGGCCTTCCAGTTGGCCATGTGACTGGAAGATCTCTGAAATTACACGCAATTTTCACACTGTTCCAGTTCTGTTTTCCTCTCTCTATGATTTTGCTTGACGTACCGCAACGAACAGCAACATCCACAAACGGCGGCCTGTGACCCTTTCCTAGCCCGCGGGTGGCTAGGAATGCACTCCTGTGAAGGGGAAGAAGGCCATGGCAGGGGGATCGGGGCATTCTTCTCCATGGTTCGCGTTCATCCTATTGCTGTTGGAGTAGATAGAACAGAACTCCTTGCTCATTTTGGAGGGACTTAACCCTTTGTCGTTTCGAGGGGCCTAGTGCTGTGCTGTTTTATAAGCAGTACGTTTCTGCCTTGTAAGTTTTCAACAAAGATACATTGTTGCAGTTGTTTGAAAACATTTGCTAATCGCCATCGCATGCTTAGGGAAGCGGCTCGATCCTTATTTTGGTTGGATATTTGAGCAGGATGCCGCAAACGCTACTTGCTGTAGAAGTAGCTTAGAAGAACCGGCACTGAAGTGTTCCTGGGCGGCTGGGTGTGTGCGAGCACCATAGCTTCCTGCTGTTGACAAGCTGGCAGGTGAATGCTGAGCCAAAAGCCAAGGCAAAGGCGAAGGCCGAGCCAAAAGCTAAGGCCAAGGCAAAGGCGAAGGCCGAGCCGAAAGCTAAGGCCAAGGCAAAGGCGAAGGCCGAGCCGAAAGCTAAAGCAAAGGCGAAGGCCGAGCCAAAGGTTAAGGCCAGGCGTCGGTGGGTGGACTTTTCTTGGCGGGCCACTTGCAGAGAAGAAGGGCCTAAGGGGTAGAAGCCCTTGAGCTTATGCTAGCCACGCGTCAAGCTTTTGCCACGTGTTTGATTGAAGCAGGACCGGCCGACCAAAGGGCGAGCCCAAAAGCCATGAGATTAGGGCAAGACAAAGTGCTTCATGGGCTCTTGGCAGACCACCAAAACAGCATCATTGGCAGCCTGGTACAGTTGAGAAGAGTTGACACCTGCCACCACCTGACATCTAGACATCTAGACAAGTAGTTACTAGGAACAAGCTACTAGGGAGTCCTGGCCGTACTACTAGGAGCAAGGACGCTACTAAACCACAGATGCTTCTTGTGGAGACGTGGTTGGCACCTCACCGTCCGTGAAAATCTTCTTCCGGTTTTGGGCACTGCCCCCGGACCAACAAAACAACAAGTCATGGAACCTTTGGGGTCCCTTCCACCTCCTTGCAAGCACCTTTTTGCCTCCCCGGCGCCTCCCGGTGCCCCGGCTCCCGCGCCGAAGTCCTCCGCCGTTGGGAAGGCCAAGGCCAAGGCCTCTCCGGCACTCCGGGGCTCTGTCAAGGTGGGCTTCCGTCGGGCCGCCGCGGCCCGCGCGCACAGCGGGGTGTGACGGTTGTCCTTCACATGTAGATGTTGTAGATGTTGTAGTTGAAGACTCGGCACCTGATCAAGCGGTGGGACCAAGAGTCGCCTGTTCATTGAAGACTTTCAACTTCGTCATCTCGACTCCCCCGTCCTCCAAAAACGCTCCAAAAAGAGCTCGCGTTTGGCGCAGAGGTGGTCCCTGACTCGCGCTCGCGCAGTGACCGTTTCGGACTTGCAGACGTTGCTCGAATGACCACCCTACCCAGGAAAAGTGGAGTTGTAAGACCTTTGTTAGAGATTTGTCCCTCACTCAAATTCAACAGGTAGAAAGTTCCATCCACCTTCATTTTCGAGGGAAACGGCTCGGGGGTCAGCCATGGAACTCGCAGGGTGAGCAAAGATCAACGAAGATCATGCCAGCCTCATGGCGACCCCCATGGCCAGTTGGTACAGCAAGAGCGACCATGGCCTCGTGACCACTTCTTCTTGACGCACTTCTTGGGCGCACACTTCTTTCCAGGGAAGCGCAGTCCGCGCAGTCCGCGCAAGCACCTTTCACCTCGCTTTTGGACACCAGGCGGAGTCCGAGGGCGCCGCCGTGCTGGCATCGCCGGGGCGGCTGCCACGCGCGCGGGCCGTCATGCACGCCATGTGCCTTGGAGATGAACTTGGACCGACCGAAGTAAAAGCAGACTGTTGATGTCTTAACCTCCCCTCGCTTATGAAGAGGCTTTACAAATCCAAGTGGATCCAAACGGGAGGCTTTATGAATCAACAAGAGTACATTAAGGCATGTAGATCGCTATCACGCCTAGTGCCTCCCCTTCAGGTCGATCCTGGAACCCTCCAACACATCAGCTTTTGGGTCTGAATCTCCAACTGGGTGGAGTCCTGGAGGCTCCAAGGATTTTCTTTCCGGGGAATGGGCAGTTGCTCCGCTTCCGTCATCGTGGTCATCGTCCGTCTCAGGAAGCGGCGGGAGTTAGACGCTCTTCTGCACTTCTTTCAACGAAACTTCTGGGCAGGTTCCGGGACTTGGGGAAGATGAACCTTCGTAGTGGCCGTTTCAAATTCGATGGACCATGAAGATTCACACACTGAACCTTTCTTGGGCATGGCATTACGAGATCCAGATGATTTGGGTGGAGTTTTTGGCCATTTATGCTTGTAAAGATGAGCCATGATGAGCCCCACGAGAGCCCCACCAACAGCATCCAACAGCTTCATCCGCCACATTGCTTTTTCACCGCTTGCGCCGGGACCACACGCTCCAACCTCCCGAGGACTGGCGGATTGGCTGCGTAGTCTATCAGATCTACGTGGATCGCTTTGCGCCCTGTGCCAACTTGGAGGCCAAGAAGAGCCTCTACCCCGAGGAGCGCCCCAAGGTTCGAAGCACCCAAACCGGTCTGGTACGGTTCAAAGCAGAGGCCCACTGAGCTCCAGGAAGCCTGTAGTGCCATTAGCACCAGGGTTCGAACCAATCGATCCACCAGGGGGTCTGGTCCTGCTTTACCACACAGGTCAACTGGGCTTCTAAAGGAATCCGGTAAAGGCAATTGCTACCAGTACCCTCTCTGCCAGGTGACCACCCACTTTGAAGTCTCCATCTCAGCCACCATTTCGGAGACCTTTTTCAAGTCGGGTGCTGGTATGGATGACGCGAACTCGCAATGCCAGCCCAGGAGGGCACCTTCCACACGTGGTCCGAGCTGCCGAAGGCCCCCGTTGTCAAGTTCGCCCATCCGCGTCACCGGTTCGCCTCTTTAACATAAATTTCTTGACCTGGATTTTGTACCTGACATTCCGACATCCTCAGTCACACAGCTGGAAGCCCTTCGGGCTTCCGAAGCCTTTTTTCCATCGTCCATGAGTTCCGCCGCGCCCGGAACTCGACTGGAGCTTCGACGGGCTGGTTGGTTCCTGTAGTCCCGATCGCCCATCGGGGCCCCGCTCGCCAGGGGGGTCAGCTTGTGGAGTCGGTGGGCTACTACAGCCGCTGGGCCTTTGGAGTCGGTCGAGCGGAGGTGGGTCGGGTGGGGGTCGGGGCTGTTTTGTGTGCATCCAAAAGGCCAGCAGGAGCCCCTAAGACCAGTTATAAAAGCATTTAAAGGATGGTGGGCGTGGTTTTGTCGTTTAAGATCCTGAGTAAAACAATGGTGGATTGGGCAAAAAGCCGTCATCATGCTGGGCCAGGCAGTCTAGGGAGTTCCGAACTTCTCAGGGCGAAACCACTCAGACCCGAGTCTCCCCCTGGAACCGCCGATTCGGGTGCGCGGCTCTGAGACTCCACATCCCAAAGCTGAGATCGGCAGGTTCGGTTATGCTCACCCTCATTGGCCTAAAGCACCTTTTGATGGGCACCAAAGACCACTGGTACATCCACTCGGTGGGCCGACCCGATCGCCCCAAAACCGACCCCGCGGTCTGAGCGTAGCGGTTCCGCCGAGGCAATGAGCTGGCCTTCTGGGGCGGGGACCTGCCGAGCTTGACCGGGAAGCTGGACTACATCAACGACCTAGGCGGCAAAGGGGAGGTCTAGGTGGTGGGGTTGGGCTGCGAACATGGGAGCGAACTTCTGGGGTGTTCCGGGCCAGCCGTTGTTGGTGTTTTTGGGGTGGAGCAGGTGATGTCGGATGGTTCGAGATTAGGATGGGCCCGTTTGGGACTTGGAATGACCATGAATGATCTCATTGACCACATCCACCGCATCCCCCACCGCTTGGTCATTTGTGCTGAAGGCGTGTCCGGTCGGGGGAAGTGGCTGCTGTTGGGCTGTCACGGTGTCGTCGTCGTTTCAGGCTTTCCTCCGTCCGGTCGCGAGTCACTCCGCTCGGTCGCTCTGCAGCGTGTCAGTGCAGTAGCTGGGTGACGACGGCCCAGGCGTTGACGTGATGTACCTGCAGCCGGTCACGAAGAGCTTCTCGAACCACAAGTACGACACCACGGACTACAAGGATTTGGACGTGGCCCGACTGACCTGGTGTTTGGCCCTTGGAGATCCCACGTTGAGGTTTCTTAAGCCTCTGGAGAGGTCACTTATGGACCTCAAAAGAATACATTCGGATGTTTTCAACGCAGGGTCGTTTGCTCGACCAATTTAACATCATGCTTTAACCCTGGCATCCCATGTCTAAGACAAGGGTTTCCTCTTGTTGATGTTCAATCTCGAATGATGTTCAGATTGCTGGAAAGCTGGTGGACCTATGCCCACAGCTGCACCGCTAATCCTGGTCAGATTTCTTTGGGAGATGGGTCGATTTCTGCCTCCCTGTCAGACTTCATCATCACCCTCCTAAGATGGTGGTTCATCATTCGACGCACCGAAACCGCACAGAATGCTCCGAGGGGCGCCGTCCGCATGGTCATGGGCTCGGATCCTACCGCTGCCGCCGTCCACGAACATGGCGAACTGACCAGGGCAGTCTGTGGCATACCCGGAGAATCAAGAACCAGGAAGAACCAGGTCTTCCAGGGGCGCCCCTCCACTTCCCTTCACTTCCCATGCTCCCACTTCCCAGGGAGTGCCACGTGTGCGACGTGCTACCGCACCCGCATTAAACGCGACCCGCCGCCGCGCCACGGGTGTGCGACGTGCTACCCGGCTTGGCTGACAGGCGCAGTATGGCACGGACGAAGACTTCAAGACCTTGGTGGATGCGCTCCACGAGAAGGGTCCGTCGTTCGTCGACTACCGTGGCGCCCACACGTCGGTGGTGGGGGTGAACGGTGGAAGGTGGAGAAAGGTGAAACACTTGGGGATTTTTGATTTATTTTTTCCTACCAGTGGGTTTCAAAGATATCTTTTGGGGATTGTGCCGTCTATTCTGAAACCACTAGAATCCACTTGACATGGAAGTGGGCCATGAGCCCAAGGGTCTACGAAGCGATGCGTTTTTCCTACAGGGCGGTTTTTTTTCTCCACTTCCCAGTCCATAGGTCGGAGGAAAGCTGGGCAGCTGGTCCTCCCACAAAAAACGCAGCGAGCGAACAGCATGTGGATCTGATCGCCAGGCATGAAGCTGGTCCTGGACTTTGTGTTCAACCACTGCGGAAAGCGCAGCAACCTGGTGCAGGTCAAGGGAGACAGACATCTCCACCAAACGGGAAGACTAGAAACACCGCTCGGAGTCCAACAGTTTTCTTGTTTTGATTTCGTAGCTCGAATGGTCGGAGTCCTAAGGTTTCTTTCCGGCTACGAAGCTGCATAACTCAGTCCTAGCTCTTTGACTCCTTTCCTCCTGCGAAATCGACACGTGACGAGCCATTTAGGCCGGATCTGTGTGTCTCCTCCGCTCCCTGGCGCCGGTGTTGACGGTTCTTTCCGTTCGAAGCGCGGTTCGGATGCTCGGATGCTCGTCTTCGCAGGAAGCGTTGAAGGACAAGGAGTCTCCGAATCGGAAGTTCTTCTTCATGGGCGACGAATACCAACCGCATGGCTACAAGGCACGGCTACTCGGATGCTCCGAGGTTGCGAACCCGGCCAACCCGGTGGATGTTGGTGTGCTGATCATTCATGTAGACGGTTGATGAATAACACTGAAGAATCTATCTGAGTGTGTTGATTTTGTATTTCCCATGAGTGAGTTTTATCAAGAGTCCACATGGAGTGGACCACCCCTCGACCGAAGGACGTGACACTCACCATCGTCCAAGAAGTGTGACCTCTGACCATCCAAAACCGCTGGAGCCAACCCACTGGGCGAGCCAACCGTACCAATTTCCCACCCTTTCTGAAGGTCCATGAGGTAATGGACCGTACCAGTTCGTCAAACGGGAGATCCGAGGAGGTCAGAGGACCGAGACTGGCCCAGTCAGTGACACAGGAGACCGAGATCGACTCCCCGGGTTGATGGAACCTGCAGCTCAGACTCCCGTGGCGGGTCCATGCGGGTTCGGGGCATGGGTTTTTCACCTGTTTCGACCTGCATCCCGATGAATCCGGACGAACCACTCTCAGGCCTTGGCCTTGCCACCTTCTCCCAGCTCACCTGGTGGCCAGTGTCGGCCGTGTCCGTGTCCTTCCATCTCGCCTTTGGGCAGGTCTGGGGCTGTGCGCCCTCCTTGGTCGAACTGGCGCTCGAGTCGAAGGAGGGCCCTTGCTGCGGTCCGTGGGCGGAATGGGTGGCGGTGCGTGGCGGAGGCGGCGCTCACCCCGTTCTTTTTGTTGGCTCGCCCGTTTGCTGCCGACCATCTAAACACATTGAGCGTGCTCTAAGCTCACTTCTCGGTAGCAGCAGGGTTTTTGGTTGTTTGTTTGTTGGTTGGTTGTGAGGTTCCTCGTCATCCGAACTGCGTGTTCCTACATCTCGAGCAGATTCCAACCATGCACGGGTCGATATGGCCCGCAACATCTAGGAGGTGTGCCACCTAGGTCTGAAAACTATACCCTAGAAGTCCAAAGACTATATTTTGACTTACTGAAGTAAAGGACATTCCTCTTCGTGTCACCTAAAGACTATTCTTTTTATAGTCTTTGACTCCCAGGGTATAGGTATTTTCTGTCTACCCCTTCAACTGTGCAAACCTCTGCAGTCCACGGTGAGTGAGCAGCTGCTCGAGCTACGAAAAACCGAGCAGTTTTCTTCGGTGGGGCCGCAGGAGCTGCAGAACTACCTGTGGGCCTCCAAGGACGGTTCCTGCGAGTTGGCGTCATTCGCGGCTGACGGCTTGAAGGGCTCGACTTGGGAGACTCACTGCAACAGTCATCAGCACTTGCAACTTGCAAACCATGTCAAAGCATGTCAAACCGGCAATCCGCTCAAGCTGCTTGGTGTGGCTCTCCAACGCCCAAACTAGGACTTGGAGGAAGCTGGTGCTGTGGGGTTTTGTGTGCTTTCCAGGCCTCTCCCAGAGAAGAGTGAGGTAGAGGAGGTTGCGAAGTAGAAAGCCTCAAAAAAGGAGCAAGCCGCCCAAAGTTGCGCGTACGCACCAAAAAGCAACATGGAAGTGGAAAACCCACTCAGTGGTAATTCGGAAAAGGGTCTTCCTTTCGGGCCATGCCATCCACGTAGCCATGGTAGTTACAGGGAGTGTAAGCGGCCGCCACTGAAGTCTCACTCCAGGGGCCTCCCCTAGTCTTTGTTTGCAGGTCCATGCCATCGGATTCCCTGTTGATCTTCCTGCGTGTGTGTATGAGGTCCAAGTGGCCATACATGCCGCCACCAACGATGTGAACATCTTCTCCGTCGCCACCTGGTTTCCAAGGGAGGCTATTACGTGACCGTAAGTAGGACCCGCGGGGGGGTGTACCTATGGGGTTCTGGACCTATAGAACCCCTTCTATAGGACCTATGCAGGATAGTCGCTCCCATAGGGGTTCTTCCACCGCACGGGTCACCTTCGTCGCCACCTGGCAGGACTCGGCCCTGGCCACCTGGCTGCGCCGCGGCGCCGACGGCGCGCGCCTGGACGTGGCCTCGGAAATCGGCCGCTGGGGCGGATCTCCGGGCGGAGAGAGGAAGACGGAGCAGGAGTGGAATGGAGTGGATGTGGGGTGGGGTGGATGTGGCCCCCCCCAAGCAGAAGCGGTGCGTCAAATTAGGGAGATGGCATGAGATGGATCGTGATAGGTCGTGATCGTGATCATGATACGATGTGATCGTGATGGCCTCCCAATTATAGATTCCGGTGTGTATGAAAGGTAGGGACGATAGGGAGACCGACCCCCGTGAGTTCGCTCGCCTCCTGGGTTCGGTGAGGTAGTGCCATCCAAAGCATCCAAAAGCGACCTCCCTGATTTTTACAGTGGTTTCAGAGTAGATGGCACAGACCCCAAGATGTCCTTTAGATGGGGTCCATATAAACCACCTCTTGGGGTCTGTGCCATCTACTGTCTTTCCACTAAGATGCTTTCGCCACGTGAGCGGTGTTTTTCTTTTCCTCGGGTTGGCGTTGGAGCTTCGCATGGATAGCATCCGGCGGTGGAGAGCACCTGGTATACCTCGCTCAGATCGCATTGGAAGCCTCGTGTGGTGTCGTGTGGGTCTGACAAGAAGAGTGGGGGATCCAATGGGATTTGTCGGGGTGGCCGTACTTTCAATGAGTCACGGTTCAGCTTTCAGCCTGCTTCCCTGAAGGATCCTGAAGGAGTTTCTATCAGTCAGATTGTTGGTTCTAGTCTTTTTGGCTCCCGCAACGCTCCAACCGGATCCCTACCAACCGGATCCACCAGCCGATCTTCTTCCGAATCTCCGCCCCCTGGGGTTCCCGCCCTGGAAAACACGGCTCGACGTTCCCAGCCTCCCGACCTCGCCTTCCAAACTCGACCCATGGTCGAGCTGGCTTTGTCGTGTAAAGCACTTAGTGCACTCAGTATATAAGACATGCGTCTGACCATGGTTCCTCGAGGCGGCTCTTACGTTTCGCGGCATCGACGGCCATCGCGGCCGCATGCGGCCACCGAGGCCTGGACTTGTTGTCCTCCATCACCCGTGCAGCGCATCGACACAAGAAGGGCAGCCTGGTGGTGGGCGAGGTCTGGGCGTGCGCCCAATGCGCGCGCGCTCCGCTGCCTACTTCTTCGGGTCACGTGAAGAAGAAGAAGAAGAAGAAGACGAAGAAGAAGAAGAAGAGCTCCAGGATCTGATTTGGGCAGCCTCTTGCCACACCCACGTTCCAGCCCAAGAGGCCAAATACTTGGCCGTGTAGAGTTTTCTCCTGGAGGTTCGGACTTGCAATCACCATCCAGCCAGCACCCTCTGGCACTTCATGCCTCCTTTCCCTCACTCCATGCTGCAACCACCAGCTCCCGTGGGCACACCGTCCTCCCAGCTCTTTTGCCATTTCATCGCCTGAAACCCGTTGTTCAGCTGTTTTATGGCTAGGAGACTTAGGAGACTGCCAAACGAGGCCAAGTGAACTCTTTGGATGGTCGAGCGGAAGGCTAAGGTTTAACTTGGTTGGGGATTGATGACTGAAGAAGAGGTACTCGCCCCATTGGACATCCTGCATGGATGCAGCTGCTTGCCCGGACGGGCGTGGGCCGCGCAGGGAGGGCGACACAAGAGGAGTGGGCGGGGAAGATCATGGGAGATTTGATGGCGGTAGGGGTGGGGGTTGTGAATTTAACTTGTTAATTAATCTATATATATATTAATCTATTATTGTTGATTTAAACCTTTGTATAATTCATTTGTTTGGTCGTCTATATGCATCACCAGTTGACTTTATCCCAAGGGCCATTTTCACGTGCTTCTCGCTCAGGTGCTCAGCCTGCACCTGGGTGTGCTCATCTACGGCTTGGCCGAGGGCACTCTGCCGGGCCCGTCAGCTGCCCAGAGCCTGGCGCGGATGGTGGCCGACTCCTCCATCGAGGAGGCGGAACGACCGCCCCCGAGCGGTGTTGCCGGGGACTGGGGACCGACTAGGACTTGGAGGAACGACCCCCGAGCTGCTCGAGATCCGCTTGCACCGGATCTTCCCAATTGGGTTTAGTCATAGCCACCGTCCTAGCAGGATGACCTCGTTTCGTGACCCTCGTGGTGGTGGTGACCTCGCGGGGCGAATAGACGATGACGACCTCATCGCCACGTTGCCAGGTCTTGAAGTGTTGGATCGTGGTGAGTAACCACGACATGCCACGGCTGGCGCACCGGCTGCCGGACCTCAAGGCTGCGGCCACGTGCGGCCACGTGCGGCCACGTGCGTGTGGGGTGTGATGTGTGATGAGCCAGTTACAGTAAGTTGTTCGGGAGCATGGGCACGCCAATCATGGCGCGTCCAATTTGAACTGCTGTTTTGTTTGCTTTTTGTTGAGGGTGTGTGGGTGAGGGGGGCATGACATGGTCGAGAGGCTGACGCTTGAGATGCCTCATGCCAAAGACCTTTGACTTGCCATTCTGTCAGAATTGCCCCCTCCTCCCCCCGTTTGCTCGAAAAAAGGGTATAAAAAACACCGCACGTTCTGACACGACTCCCACCCTTCCTCGGCCGTGCGGAAGTGGCCAGGCGCGGAAGTTTGCGCAGGCGCTGCAGTTCACCTGGCCGGGCTGCCCGCTGATCTACTACGGCGATGAGCTGGGCCTGGAGGGGGGTGAGGATCCCCACAATCGGGCCCCCATGCCGTGGGGGCGAGAGAAGGAGAGCGAGATGCTGGAACATACCAAGATGTTGAGGCTTGGCTGAAGGTGCGGTGTGAGGCGCTTAGCAGCCGAGCATGTCTCGGACCAGGGTGAGGTGCGGTGTGTGGCGTGATGATTGGGTGATGTGGTTGGATGAAAGGCTTGGAGCTCCTATGAAGTCGTTAGACCTTGGACTCCCCCAGCTTTGCCCACGCCCCTGAACCAGCTTGGCTGCCTGGCTTCGCCCCGCGCCCTCCCAGGATCGCGTTGCGCAAGCAGCACCGGGCGCTGCGGATCGGCGACTACCGGGAGCTCTTCGCCCGAGACCTCATGGCCTTCATCCGACGCCTGGAGCGATGCGGGTGGAGCAGCGGAATCCCTTCGCACTCCCTTCCGCACCGCGCGCGGGGTGGCGAGCGATGCGGACGCCGTGGGCGTGGAGCAAAGGGACGGGGGGCGTTCGACCGAGTCCAAAGAGATGGTGTTGCAGTCGATGAAAATCCATGCGGTTTTTCCCAAAGCAGTGCGGACAACACACTGATATAGGGGTTCTTATGGGTGTTAAGCAGCTGTGTTAGATCGCTGTGTCGCGCGGGGTTACAATTATTGTATGTACCTACATTTCCCTCTCTCTCTCTGTGCAGGTTGGTGGTCAAGTTGTAATTGTTGCATACCAGTCGGTTCTTCCTGTGTTTCCGAGTCCGCTGCGAAACCACGCCTGGTCCGGAGGGTCCTGCTAATCTCATGCGGCAATTTGCACCTGTAGCACAGCTTCCTTCAGGCTGCAACAGTGTGCACAAGGATGCTAAGGGGGTGCATTTGCTGCATTCAAAATGTGTTTCATTCCATGCGTCGCTCATGTTGGGTCACTGGAGTCCTCCCTCCCGCCTTGGATTTCGGCAGCTTTTCTTCGCACCTCGCCGTGTTCGCCCCAGGAACCACCGACCGTGTGTCGGAGGTGGTGATCGTGCTGGCGAACCCCTTGGCCACACCCGTGAAGGTTGGGTTGTCTCGTGGCCGCGGGGTTTTCCGGCCAGGCGCCAGAAGGGGCGAGGCCGTTCAACCATTACAGTCCGATGAAACGAACACGTGGAAGATGGAAGGGGGCATCACTCTAGCTCCCTCTCGCAAAAATCAAAAATCCGCGTCTGGTCAATGAGTCGGAGGGCCTCCGACAGTGTTAGGTGGGTTTTGGAAGCTCCTCTCGTGCAGTGACGACCTACAGAAAGCTGTGCTCCCCTGGGATTCTGCAAACATCGGACAGTCAAAAATAGCAATGGCCTCCAACCTAATAGCAATGGGTTGTGGAAGCTCCTCTCGTGCAGCTCTCTTGCGCTCCCGACTTTGCACCGTCTCTTGCTGGCACCGTGCACCGCGAGGAGATGGTGGTCGTGCCGGTGCCCGCGATCCTGGGACACACGCTCTTCAAGGCCCAGAGCGGTCGAGTCGGATCGGGAAGGACGCCTCGTATACGCCTCTTCTTCTGAGGGTGGACATGATATTCAAGCTCCTAGGAACTGCCAGGTCCAAGCAGCCAACAACAGCAAGATTGTGGAAGATGCTGGATGGTAGATTGTGGTTGTGGGGAGAGCAAGGTTCCATGTAACAAAATTCCATACAGAATTCCCACGTATAGGGGTGTAGTCGACCCAGGATTGGGTCTATAGGGAGCTAGCTTACCCTCGTCCCGGGAGTTCTATGCCAAAAGTTCCTGTGTTTGTTTGTCTGTTTGTCGCAAAGATGATCTTCGGGCATGATAGGTGATGAGAGGTGCCATGTGCTGGTAGTGTATCTTGGATCCACTCCTCACTCCTTTTCGCGTGCTCATTGATGAAAGAACCATTTCAACCCTGAGCCTTCCCTGGGCCATTTGGACAAATTGGTGACCACTCCCGCACGTTAGCCGATGGAAGGTTCCTTTTTGTTTGTTCCAAGCTTCGCTTTTGGACTGATCGCTTGTACTTGTGCCGCCCCAGGCCACCCGACCGATTCCGACCTCCCCCCCAACAAGTCGAGTGGCCGAGCTCGGCCGAGTACTCGGCCACTCTCCCGGTGCACCGGTGCCCGCCACCGGTGCACGTCGACCCGCCACGGGGTGGCCCAACGAGTCAATCACCCCGCAGGACGTGATGGATGGCGAGGAGACGCGGCTTTTGGGCTCCACCCTGACGGTGGAGGTGAAGCCCAAGACGGTGCCTGGGCTGAAGGAGGAGGGCCGTGGTTGGGAAGGGGCGGGCAGAAGCAGAAGGGGGGGGGTGCATAGGCCCTCAAATTGTGGGATCTCCCTAACTTGGAGTGCATAGGCAAAGGAGATGTCTTTGCACATGTACGTTACATGTATGTGTCCGAATATATACCATATTGATACCATATAGACATACGTAGATGTGTAAGAATAACTCTTCTTGAGTTACTGTAGATGGAAAGTGCACCAGGAATGGATTTGGCCATGCAGGTCAAATGATTTCTTTAGAAGCTATACGTCAATGAAATCATTCCGACAATTTGAGCATCAATCAGTTGGATAGGACTCCATCCCGCCATCCCTGAGCTGATTTTCGGGGCAGGTGCGCATTTTTACGATGGTGAATGAGGCAAGGAAGTTGGGAGAAGGATGCCAGATTGCATTGGTGGGCGGTTGATCCACCAGTTAAGCTGGGACTGGTTGGTGTTCTGGATGCCTCTCAGAAGCTCATGTCATGTTGTGGAGTTGGATGGTGGGCTCCGCTAGACCAGTTTGTTCCAGGTAAGGTTTGACAGTTGGGACGCACATGAGAGTGGTGGACCAGGAAAGGGTGGAAAAACACATTGAAAGGATGGACCTATTGTCCAATCTGATCTCGTGGCTTCTAGATTGGAAGCGACCTCAACCGATGTGATGCTTCATTTGCCTCCTCATGTGTGCTCTCTGACCATGGACACTTTCGCCAAGGCCGAGGGACGGGAACTCGCGTTCGACCGTTGTGGCGGGTGGGACGGGTGGCCGCGTCGAACGCAGGTGGGCAACCCCAGCGGGGATCAGTACAAGCGCACCTGGGGCCATTGGGCCTCCTTCGCCAGTGTCAAGCCCTGAGCCGGAGATCAGCGGAGATCTCCGCGCGCGAGTGAAGAAGGGGGTGGGGGGAGACGTGGCAACCTGCTTGGATCGCTGCTGATGAGGAGCCATTTTTGGAGCTCCTGACACTGGAGATTTAAACCAGGAGTTTTGAAGAATCCCACTGCAATTGCAACACCTGTTGTTCTTCAACATGTTGGTTTCCCCAAGCCTCACAGATCAGCGCACTGGGCGCCCGGTGCGCGGCGGGCTCATCGTAGTGTGGGTTTGTCTCAAAATCATTGCAGACTCCCAATGTCTACCATTGTCTACCTAGTTTCTGCTTCTTCAAGCGCTTTCGGCACTTCATTCTTCAATTCAGAGCTGTTTTCAATGTCATATAAATTATAACCCGGTGGTTATATTTTACCTCAAATCACACGTTTCTGGAGACTCCCCCAATTTCAGACACACCCACGGTAGCTGGACAGAAGAAACCCCGCAGAGTGCGGATCATCGATTGAGATCTTCGCTCAGCAAGCAGCGAAAAGGAGACACGCAGCGATGGCCTCGTGGATTCGCGGGGGCGAGACGGGCGAAAGGCCAACCACTGTGAGTTGGATCCGGCAACAGGAAAGCGCGCCTGGAAAGCCAGCCCCAACTAGAAACAAGTCTGGATGGAACGAAACCCGGTCCCCGCCACTAACTCCCCTGGTTGGATCTGGGTTCCAGGTGCATGTGGTACACCGGCTGGGCCTTGATTGTGGTTCCGTGGCTGAGCTGGCCTTGGTACAGCAGCATCAGTAGGGTTTGGCGACGCCGCGACGCTGTTGTTCAGTGATTGGACGCCTAAGCCTTAAGCCTTGAGTACGGCTTGTTGGGGGCATGCGTCCTGTTCTGTTCGCGTGGCGAACGTCAGAGCACACGGTGAGGCCAGACCTTGTGGAAGGAGTTGCCACGACATGCCGAGATCCCAAAAGGCAACAGAAGAGATCAGACCGAAAACACGTAGAACCCATTTGCCCTCCTGTTTGTATAGGAAAAAGGGCTATATTTTGGACACTGGATCCTTCAAACCAGGGGGGGTTGGCACACATGCGGCACGCTTCATAGTTTGGCAGGAAGAACCACACCTTCTTGACCACGGCGTGTGGGAGTTTGTGCTCCACCTGTGCAGTGAAGAAGCCACAGGTCTTCTGCGCGAACTGTGAGGACCCGGGGATCGGGAATGGGTGGAGATCCTGTGAAGGTGGGAGAGGCATGTTACATGTTGATTGATCCTCCCAAGTGCCAGTCAGTTGGTACAACCCAGGCTTGAGGATAGCAATGAGCGACCAGGGTTGAGCATGGTGCGCTGATCGCCTCCGGCGCCGGCCCTCCGGCAGAGCAAGTCGGACGAGACATGGCCGGCCACATGCACGGTGTCAGCCCATCGAGAACAGATGCAGCCACGGTTCATGAAGATCACTTGAGAACAATTGGACACTTGTCTTCTTCAGAAAGGGGGGGGAAGGGCGAAACATCACTCTTGAGGACTACTTCTGCTTCAAGTGCTTCGAGGACATGCATCGCCGTGGCAACCGTCGCCCGGCCGAAGAAGGGGACGGTTCGCCCCGACCGTTCCCGGGCTTCGGGGCGCCGATCCTCGGAGAACCTGTTGCCTCTCCCGGGCCGGGTGCTGCATGCCCTAGAGCTCCTGGTCCACCTTGCGAGATGGTCGGGAGTGGGTGCCAGGGGCGTCCGTCTGTGCCCACCGGTCACCGGGTTGGAGATGGGCCGGGCCTGGAGATCTAGAGGGATCCATCACACCCGGTGTCGTTCCAAAAGACTTGTGCACCGTACGCTTCGCTTCGAGACGGGGTAGAGGACGCTAGAGGCTCCAAGAGGATGGACCCGGCGGGTTCAAGGGCTTCGTCACCCGTTCTTTTCCGCGTTTTGGCCTCAGGATTGCAGCACAAGTCCATGTTGGTCAGCGTCTCTGTGGGGATGCCCAGAATCCTCACATTTGGATGGACGCGCGAAGGAGGTGAAACAAAAAGGGGGCAATTGCAGGGACAGGAAATGGATAGATGGCTTGACAGCTCGTTTTCGGCATGGTTTGCTCAGCCAGCTACTTGACGGCAACCCAGCGAAGCTTCTAATAATAACCCAGGCACTCCATACTAAACTGGCATATATATATACTACATATATTGGAACGGTTGACCTGGGATGAATGCATGCCGGTCCCCTTCATAATGGTGTCATCACGACCCGTGGGCTCCATCTCACCCACCCCTGTCTTCCAAGTGCCTCAGAAGCTATTGGACTCTGGACCTTCAAATCCACCCGAAACAGCCCAGTCCCACCTTCTCAGAAGGCACTTGGAGCCCTTCAGGGGCACCTTCACCCGCGCCACCCAACCAGATCGATCCAGCGCGGACGCGCGCGCAACCCACTCGCTGCGGAGCCGGGCGCCGAGGACGGCGACGTCATCGAGCCGCAGAAGCGCTGCGAGGAGTGCGAGGATCGGCCGGCGGCCTTCGCCTGCGCCACCCGGACTCGAAGTAAAGTGATTCTATTTAGTTTTAATTCTTGTTTCTAATAGCTTCTTGTTACTAGTAGTAAGGCACTTGTTACTAGAAGCCATGCACTTGTTCCTAGTAGTAAAGTGATGGTTATTCAAATTGGAGGTTTGTCCTCGGACGCGGTTGCCACGAACAACTCTAGGCTCACTGAATGCCTAGGAGGAGGGGTGTTCACCGGAGGGTTTGGGAGGGTTTTGGTGCTTGTGGTGGTGCTCCACACGGTGCCCCACAGGTGAGATCAGTGGTGAAGGAGGAGGGTTTTGGCTTTGTGGGGTACGTGAGTGGGGGAGGAGTGGACTTGGGTGAGGGGGCCGTGAATCTTGGTTCGGAGGCTTTCAACTTTGGCTGTTAGAGGGTGCCTGGCCGGACTACGATGGGCCAAGCTGTGCAGTACATACTCTTTGAGTTATCTTTTATGTGCTCTTCCGCATTTAGTTGAAGTAACCCATCTATAGTCTATAGTATACATCTCTGAAGTGCTTTCGATGTACATCAGTGTACTGACGGATGATGCCATGTAATGTGCTTCTTCTGAAGCACATTGGAGGGATTTCTGAGCTGAGGACTATTGCTTGGACAATTACTGCGTGCAATGCTTCTGGAAGTGCCACTTCAATGGCCGCTTCGTCACGACAACCATCGGTTTCCGCGTGGGGATGGTGGTTGCGTGGAATTCCGCGTCTCAGACAAGCCCGGATGGTGGCCGGAACAGTTTCCATTTGCGCACAGTTGCCTTGGCCTCCCCATGGGGGGTGCTGTGAATGGAGGGTTTGGTCCCACAGGAGTTTTGGAGAAGCGATGGCTGAGCAAAATCGAGGGCGAATTGACTGCCCACGGTTTTGCCCGTTCAGCAGACATTCTGAAGGAGCGCATTGGTGTTCATGAGGGGCCAAAGGGGGTTTCTGCAAGTGTCCTCCGTTGTTTTCTGGTGACCAGACCGGCTTTCATGCCAAGGCGGCCTCAACCCTGACGACCAGTCCCGTTCGACCATCTTCGACACCGAAGTGTTCAGGAAATTCCTGGTCTAGCGTCACCCCAACAGACCCTTAAAAATTGACAGTCTGGACTTCCAAAACAGTAGACCACCCCAGGACCAAAAGCCTATTAGAGGATAGGGATGCCCATTGTCCACGGACTGGAAACCACCCGACATGTGACTCCTGGTATAGTCTTTTTGAAGAAGTCATCTTGGACTTCCAGGGTGACACCCGCTCCGACACTCGGGTCGACGAAGCCACCGGAGCTCAGGACACCGGCGGCAGCATACTGCCTCCAAGGCGGGGCAGCATACGGCGTCGGAAGCCAGGGCTGGACACCATCGGTGTTGGGTACTTATTTTGATTTTGGGTGTATCGTGCAGTAAGAGAGCATTGCAAGTGCATAGGTTATATATACATATTTTTTTCCTAAGAGTATATATATATATATATATTATGTCACACTGTATTGAAAAAGGGTGAACGTAATATGTATATATATATATATATTTGTTGTTGTGGGGTTGAATGTGAGGTATATAACAATATACAGTTCACACCTGCCTTGGGGGTTTGACCTACTCCTCATCTTTCACAGAGCCTCCTCAGCTCTTTCCAAGCTTTTGTCTCGTGTCTTGTGTCTCGGCGAGGTGGCCGTGGTGCCGATGTGCAACCAGTGCCAGAATGTCCGGGCCACGATCTTCTCAGAGCAAACGCAGGAGTTGATGTGCACGGCCCCTCGGTGCGATGTCCGTGGCGATGTCCGTGGAGTTCATTGAGAAGTAAAGCACTCCAGAAGTTCCATGTCAGGGTGGGCTCTACCAGGGCCCCCGGGCCATCGGGGTGTCTAATTATAGCTCCTTAGAAGTTAAGGGGTATCCATTAACCACCCCTATCCGGGGGCTCTGGTATAGATCCATCCAGTGAGTGGATGTTCTGGGCACATAATGACACTCCCCGAAGGAATCATGCTGGAGTGAAAGCCACCTGTTTGATCCTGTTGGGTCTTTGGATGAAAACGGTCATCCGACAGGCCATGCCACGTAACCATGGATTGTTTCAGGGAGTGTACGTGTTTTTCTTGGTTTTGAGCGGCTGGAGGGGCGGGGAGTGGGATGTCCCTTCTGCAAGTGGATTCGAGTGGTATGTAATTGAGCGCGCTAGCATTTGAACGCACTAACCTGGTGTGTCAGCCTCCTGTGAAAATGCCGGTATTTCAGGGTTTTTCCGGGTCTCTGATGTGATGGCCACATGTAAAGCAGCTTGTGCCAACCTCCCAGGAATGCTTCACCATGCTGCACGCCAAGGGCAACCGCATGCACCTTGGATGCTGTTCGGTGTGATGTTGATGCGGACCTCCAGTGAGGGCTATGAAAAATATGTGTTATGACTCTCTCCCTACTGCAGGGCCAAGCCTCTGGGATTGGGTCGCCCAAGCATAATAGTAAGTCCTGTGTTGCACGGCCACGCCCTCGGTTTGGACCAGCGAAAATCCACCGGAACTCATGCAGCTGCCTGGTGGTTTTCAGGAACAGCAGCGCTGCATGGGGGGAAGTCTGAAGGGGTATATCCCTATTTGAGCCTGAGTGGTCCCTGTCTTGGAGGATCAAATCTCCAAAATGTGGCCAGGAGAATATGTTTGTGTTCTAGGTACCTAGAGCCACAATCTTAGACCTCTCTTGTTATGTGGACCAAGGGCCGGCCTCCAAAGAGAGCCTTTTCCTCTGACGGCTCGCCTCGTACCAGCTCGCTCCGCGTCCCACGGGTTCCGGGTCGCACGGGCGGGATCGACGCCCCGGGCTCGCGCAGGCTGCATCTCTTCATGGATGCCATGGCCTCTCGGCAGGTCGCTCCGCGGGTGGGGGTGGAGGTGGGGGGTGCACGTGCTCTCGAGCAAGCGCCGGACGTCGGTGGCTGCCTAAGGACTTGCTGGTGCTGTTAGAGAGATTGGACCCAGCGTTTCAGGAGATGGATGGGTGTGGGGCAGGGCGGGGCTGGAAGGGACAGGGTTGTGACCAGTGACTGGGATGTGTTGGGTAGTGGGGTGCGCGAAAATGATGCTTTGTTCTCATCCGACTGCCTTTATGACCAGTGGGACGATCGATGCGCGCGCGTCAACCGACCGCACGGGACCCCAGGAGCACATGCGCCGTGCGCGGCCGAGAGTGCTTTGGGCACTCAGCCAACTGCAAGGCGAGGGAGAGGAGAGTGAAGAGGAGTAGCGAGGTCGCAGAGGTGGTACTTGGAGATGATTTCGTGGTGGTCTTTGGACAGCTGGGCATAAAGCTGAGTAGATGAGGACAGCACAGCAGGACAGATGACGTTCACCGGCTTCACCGCCAGGTTGGGTCAAGGGTATCGAAGCGCGACGCAACTTCAAGAAGCGCAAGGCGCTTGACTCGTGGGGCGCTGGGCATGGCCACCACTTCTAAACGCTTGGCTTTGGGCGTTTTTGCTGAGGTTTTTACCACCTCGAAAAGCATGGCGCTGTCTTATTCTCACACAATCACGGGGGGTGGGGTGTGCCAAGTCCACTTGATAGCAAAGAGTCGAGCGGGTGGTGAAGGGAGTCACCTTACTTGCGCGCCTCTTTCGTTGAGGCGCGCTTGGTGCACCTCAATCATTGCGGCCATAGTATGTCGATGATATCAGATGAACCTGACCATTCCCGTTCAGGTCTTTCAGCCTCCAAGGGGTGTTGAAACCTGGTTTCTTGCAGATCGGGTGACTTGGATTGTTTTTCCCGAGCTGGGTGAATCACCCAACCCGGGGAATATAGTTATAGTTATTGAGGTTATTGTTCTTTTCTATTTTCCACATTTTGGACAGCAAATCCAAGTTAACAGCCCTGATCCCACCTGTGCCTTCGCAGCAAAAGAACCGCAGGATGTGGTGCTGATGATCCAGCGCCGCTGGCGCGGCGTGCTCACGCGCCGGCGCCTGCTGGGTGGCTGGGCGTGCTCACACGTAAGCTTGGGGTGGAGGCATTTCCTCGCTCAAACTAATGTACCAGCACCTTCAATTGGGTCCCCACACTACTATCCGGGACCTTCAGACAGGACATGAAGGTCCAGGTAGTCTATACATTCATGAAGATTCTGCATCAGTTTGAATCAGGGAATGCCTGAATACAAGCCCCCCCGACATGGAGTGCAACACCCCTTTTCACCAAGATTCTACACCTGGCTTAGTTGCGGGGAGAAGGGACAGCCAAGGCCGGCTAGGAGAACGGAAGCCAGACAGTGAGGGAGTGGGCGAGAGCCTCACCGTGGCGCGGTTCGCCGCTGAGGTATGCTGCACATGCACAAGTGGCGAAGGCACCGGGGCTTCGCCGGTCGGAGCGACGCGAAGCGAAGCGACCAAGCGACTGTGGACCGAAGTCGAAGGTGCTTCGTAGGAATGGACGTGCCTGAAATCAGGGCCCAGGTCAGACTGTGACTATAATCCAGGAGTCACAAAGGAGTGGTGTTTAGTCTCCAAGTGAGTGGAGTAGCTGGGCACCCCTAACCTCCATGGATCGCACCCCTTTGTGACTGCTGGATTATTGTTCTTTTGTGGTTTAAAAGAGTTTCGAACACCGTCCTTGCCTCCCCCCACCCTTTCCCTTTCCCAGTGCATCATGGCTCTCGGCCGTCGTCCCGAAATCCAGGCGCCAGGTGAACAACTACTTCCTGCCGAAGACCGCCGCCGAACGGCGGGCGGTGAAGCAGAAGACGACGGCCATGCTATCGGCCAAGGACGGACGACGTGATCGAGTGTGGTGGTGCGGGGCTGCGACCCGGAGGAGTTTCTTTCGGGATTTTCCGAGGGTTTTTTTCCGCACTGACCCAACAAGAGACCGTTGTATCTTGACAAGGATTTTGGACTGCTAAGACCAGGTCAACCTTTTTTAAAGAAAGATCAGCGCGGTTCAGGGGTGTCCATGAACCATCCCAAACCAGGGGGTCCTGTTATACATAAAGGCATCTTTGCTGTAGTTAAATCTATTTAGGGCTCACTACCGCTCGCATACCTGAGAGTCGAACATGCCATGCACTCTGTTGCCTGACGTTGGCCACTGGCCTCTACTGATGGCCACTTTGCCCATTCCAGGTGCAACAATCTGAGAGTCTGACCCTCTCTCCAACACACATGGAAGTGGACGACGGCCGAAAGACCACAAATTCTGTCTTCAATCCCAAGGCAAAGGCAGTTGGTACGGCACGATCGCCGTGGAAGGCGCCAGGCGCCTCAAGACTCGCCCCATGTCTATAGGGCCTTTCATCTTCAGCATCGACGGTGACATCGAGATGTCGTGAGAGTTGCCGATGAGTGCCTAATTACCAACAGAGGTTAAGTGACCGTAAATAGGACCCTACAGGGGTACCTATGGGATAGTCTATAAGGTCCTTCAGCCTCTGTTGGTAGGTTCCTGATGATCATGGAGTGCTTCAAGGGTGGTACAGGACGTACAGAAGCAGACGTCGCACCTTCTCAGCACTCACTCTTCCGGCTGGAGGCACGTCACGCCTGACGGTCCGGGCCAGGACGTCACCACGCGTGCGGCGAACCAGTCGTTGCGGGAGCTGCGCAGTACCATTCTGAACACGGCGCGGGAGCTGAGACCGGTGGGGAGGTGCCAAACTGGAGAACCGGCAGCAAGCGGCTCTGTTTGTGGGATTCCTTGGGGACGCCCCACTCCAACTCAACCAGTACCTGGACCCTCCAAGGTTTGTGTGTCCTGGCTGGACTGGCTTCCAGACAGGGCACCCCGACAGGAGGGTCCTGGTAGAGACTTCGCTTCACCGGTTCATCCCGTTCTAGGGTTTCCCGGCCCGAGGGTCGGAACTCGCAGGGATCAGGGATGGCGGCCATGAGGATCCAGCCAAGCAAGACCAAGACTCGTGACCACTTCTTTCCGCACTTAGTGCTATTCAGAATACCACTCACTTTAAGTATGTTGTCACTAGGCTTCATGTGTTCACTTCCAAACCAACTCACACATCCGAATCATGTATTCCAACTCGAAACCTACTGTTGGGCTTGGGGCGCGCCTGGATGCCCCGGGCGCGGACGTCTCTCTCGTGCGGAGAATCCCCCGAGGCCACCGCGGATCCGCTGGAGGATGCGCAGATGACCCGCGACCAGATGGAGGCGGCTTCCTTGTGGCGGTCCTTGGCACCGCCCCCCGTGAACACCGGGGCTGTTCCATGGCGTTTCGCGGGTCGCGGGTCGCCGGCGACCCAAGCCCAAATGGGCACCTTTGGTTGGACAGGCTGCTTAGGGCTTAGGGCTGCTGAGGTGAGTTTTGATCAGGTTGGACTCTTTCGTTCCAACCTGCTCAGGTTGATTTTGGAGCAAGGGCCACCATTGGTGCCCACCAACAGACATCATACACGGAGTATAGCGGGCCATCTTCCGAAGCTTTTGAAGCAGACTGAACTTCCCAGAATTGGCTGAAGGGAACATCCAAGAGGACACCATATGTTTTCATCCCCCAAGAGCGATCTTTGTTGTTGTAGACTTTCCCTTTAGCCACTTCTTCTAGGATGAGCTCCACTATTCTCCGATTCTCCACTCCACATAGCGTTTCACTGCAGGCGCTGCCAGGCGCGACAGAGGTGCCGGGCGCCGCAGGCTTCTCCCACACGATGCCCAGTGGCGTGTCGCCCTACACCAGCTACGTGCCCGGGGCAGTGGAAGTCTTTTTGTGATGGTATTTTTGTTTTGTATTGACACCTTTGGTCATCTTGGCCAGTTATGTGCTCCTCACTGAAACAGTTTCTGAGAGGCAGGGGTGGCCTGATTTTGACCCCTGACTTCTTTTTTGGGTGGATGAGCACCATGCGATTCGCGACGTCCTACCTCAATCGGACCCTGGGGGCCACATCTCGCGCTGGAGCTTCCTTCGTCCACGTGCCGAGGAGCAAAGCTCGCGGTTCAACGGCGCGCTCACGGACCCCAGCTTTGGGCAGCAGGCGCAGGACCTCTCCAAGAAGGACAGAGCGTTCGGGCGGTTGTGGTGGTGGGGTGTTTTTCGAGGAAGACCTGGGACGACGCTCATAGAACCCCCATCCAGGGTCAAAGGTGGAACATGCGAGAGTTGCTGGTCGTTTTGACGCAAAACGACCCTCCCTTCAGCAGGCAGACCTGAGGATGGTGGAGGATGGTGGAGGCAGAATTCTACCTGGAAACCCAGTCCCAACCAGAAACAAATGGTTGTTCCAATATGGCGCCAGCTTGACATCCTTTACATAGGAAATGGCTGGGACTGGGGAAACATCCATTTGTTTCTGGTTGGGACTGGTTTCCCAGGTACATGGGATTCTCCGAGCTTGGTCCGTCCATAGGGCCCGGGGAGTTCACACGACACCCGATTCGGGAAGCAAGTCGGTGATAACTAACCTTTTGACCCTTTGGGCCGCTGCGCAGATAAAGGCTTAAGTATGGCTGAATCAAGGCATGCAAGAAGCAAAATACCCTTGGCCACAATGCTTCAAAAGCTGCAGACCACGCGTGGGCCTGGCAAAACAATGCAAAAACCAGACAGGGGGCACTTCCTGCATCTCTTTGTGCTTCACTCTCTGTGCTCACTCGGACCGGCCAGGACATCCGGACGACGCGGGACAACACCTTGCGGCAGATCACCCGTCTCGACTGAGCTGGGTCGTCTTCGACGTCAGTCGACGGCGGCTCGCGTTTCGCGTGGAGAGCAGGGAGTTGGGGGGCCTTTTCACCTCGGTCCCAGGGGGCCCTTTCACGGATCAGTCCCAGAACCGGTTCTGGAGAAGATCTTTCGGTTGGGGAACAAGGCACCCTGCCCGGGGAGAAAGCGTGGGCGGCACGTCCCATTTGGCCGCCTTTGGCCCGGTTCTCTTCTGCCCTCCACCCCCCACTCCGCGGGTTTCACATTTCTGCACCTCGTGACCAACGGCTGTGGGCGACGGCCTGCCGGTGGACCGCCGCTGGGCGGGGCGTGTAGGGTGGCTGGACTCTGCAGATCTGCAGTTGGTTCTTTTCCACGGGGTGGGTCACGACTGACAGATCCCAAGAGAAGCAGGAGAATATCCCGGGCAGACTCCTTGAACATATAGCTGCACCCTCCATAAGCAATTGAGACCATTGTAGGGCCTTGATCTCATGGCGGTCGTGGGTGATTCACAGAAGGAAGTACGTATGTGAAGCTTTCAGAGAAAACTTCCTCAAAAGTGATAGTACTTTGAGATTCACAGGCCACGGGTCGCACCCACGGCCAGTTCCGATGCAGGTCCTTTAAATCCCTGGGATTTCAATGGACTACAGAATGTTTTTGGACTATTCTTTAAAGGGTCCTTGAAGGCGAACGGGAGTGGTTCTCTAGGCGAACGCCCACGCGAGGCTGGAGAGAGATTCGCCGAAACGTGGAGTCGCCCACAGACCGGGGTCGTTGTTTCACCCGCTGCATGCCGAATCGTTCCGCTTTGGACGAAAAAGCTTCGAGCTGCCAGCGGCCGCGGCCGCGGAACCGTGACAGAAAGTCATCACCCAGAACCATCGGGCGAACCAGCCCTAGGAGGGCGAAGCCATATCTGGCTTAGATGTTTCATCTTTTGACCCCAAATCATTCCAGGACCCTGTCGGTGCCCTGTCTGGAAGCCTTTTTCGTGTGGGGTAGTAGTTCAGCCAGGACACCCCGAAGGTCGGAGGGTCCTGGTTTGGAAGTGCGTTTGGAGCCAATTGGTTCGCATCAAGGCCCCTCTCCACGCATCATGGGTCGCTTGCTCTGTTGAGGCAGCATGGCCCTCCGCACGAGGCCCTCCGCGGCGGTCCAGGGTGAAGGTGGGGTCAATGACCCGAATGCGATGGTTGGAATCCCGAACCACCACAGGTTTTACATGGTTTGGCTCAGGATTTTACGACACAAACCAAGGTCAACCATTTTAAAAAGCCAGTGGGCTGGACATCCCACTGGGCTGGCCAAGTTTCAGTCAGTCCTGGCCCAGTGTCAACAGGTCTGGATTTCTGGTTTCGGCAGATGTGCAGCCATTGGGTGCTGGTTTCATTGGAGCCATTGGGTGCCTCTCGAATCAGACGAGGACGAGTGCTTTAGAAAAGAGGTGGCGCTGGCCGCGTGGGTGCAGTGACTTGATGTCATGGCGCTTGCGCCTTGCGGACGTCCATTTGGTGCCAGGGGCTTTGGATGGGGGCCACGGTTCTGGCCAGGCGACCTGAACCTCGGCTCGAGGTCAGACGCGACGTGCATCCAAGGAGGGTAACCTTTCGGAGTTAGGCTTGGAAGGGTCGAGGTGAGGTGACCCGGTGGTGTAAAGTGGTTCTCAAATAGATAGAAACGGTTTCCAATACATCATTTTGAAAGGGATTTTACTTTTCTGGTTAGCTTTTGGTGGTGTATGTGATATCAGTCCCACGCGTCAGATCTTCTTCCAAACCGACCCCCCCCCCACACACACAGTCTATCCCCCCACTATGATGGTTTCGGGCCAGGCTGCACAGGGTGTGTTGGGGGGCAATTGGTTTGGAACCTCCCGATGGCAGCGGTACGTCAGACCGTTTGAGCGGTGTCCATCCAAATCTGGTCCTTCTCGTCCATCACTGCTGCAGCTCAGCAGCTGCTCTGGCATGCACTCGGTGCTCCACCACGCATGGCTGAGCCCAGCTCGCATGGCGGAAGCTCACAACACGAAGGATCGAAAGGGAAGTCACACCAATCGCCATCTCAATGTTTGGTTTAATTACTGATTAAAGGGTGTCTTCAAACCACCACCCCCAGAAGTGATCAACAGGATCTGGCATTTTTTTGTCCGCCCATCTGGTTCAGGCAAGCCGTCATGCCTTCTAGAGGTCCCTAGAGGTCCGTGCCCATCGCTTCGATTTTCCTCCTCTGCGGCCCTGAGAACCGGTGAAGATAGCAAGAACCACACCGGCCCGAGAGGAACACATGCAGCTCCGAGGCAAGATCTCCATGCTTCCATCATCTTCCATCCACACACCGCCCAGGGGGACCTCGAGCAGGGAATCAGCCACCCTCGCAGGTCCCGCCACCCGTCCGTCGCACCAGTCCACCGGAGCACGTCCGGCGCCATGGCGACGCAGCCGCTGATGAGCGCCGCGAGCGCCGCGAGCGCGGCCGTGGCGCTGGACAAGGAGGGCTATCGGGAGCTGATTCGACGCGGGGACCAGGAGCAGATGGCAGCTCGGAGGTGAACAACGAGATGGGACAGAAACGGGACGACTCTGCTCTCCGCGCTTCGATCTTTGATCTAAACATGAAGCCTGGCACGACTGGCAGCCGCCCCATGCCTGGCGTGTGTTCGGAGTGGGCGTTCATTGGCTTCACGTCTCTGTCGTCACCGCCCCGTGACGTCTAGCGTCCCTCCACCGTTTTGTGGGGTTCAACCCCATGGAAGAAAGAAAGTCGATCAAACGCCATTGGCAGGGGATCTCCCTATTGAGAATGGGTTACACATGGTTACACACTCCACACGCCTCTGGCTTTTCCAACTATACCAAATTTCCAACGTGGTTACACATGGTTACACATGGTTACACACCAAAACATATCATATATGTTTCTTTCCAACATGGACTACCCCACACGACTGAAAAAGGCTTCCAGACAGGGCACCCCGACAGGAGGGTGCTGGTACCAAGTTTCTGCATTTTTGGCTGTTCCATATGGATGAAGTTCGGCAGAAACATCCTGCGGCGTGTCGAACCTGCGTCTGTCTAGGTCGTCTTCCTCCGGCGCCTCATTGCACAGCACCAGCTGCCGGAGGCGGCGTTGGGCCCACGCCGTTGGTTTCAGAGGGGTGGCCCAGGGGGATTTGTGGGGGATGGCCATATGGCCATGGGAAGAAAGACCTGACCCCAAGAAGCATTCGCAACGCAGGTCTCCGCCGAAGCGTTGGAGCGCTTGGCTCGGCAGCATTTGAAGGTGCCCAGTAGCTTCCAGGACGCTGCTCGGCCGACGGCGTCGGCGCAAGGTTCGGCATTGCGGGCGGGTCGGCTCAGTCTGTGGCCGGGGTCAACCGGGATCTGATTGCAAAGTGGTAAACGTTTCGAGGAAGAAGGCAAACGTTTGGCAGTGGCATGTGAAGTGTGGACACCTGATCCAT